CTCCCTCTTTCTCTACATGTCCATTAGGATAGCCTGCCTTTTCTTTTGTTAACTGAAGGGGAGAAATGGAAGATTGCTGTTCAGTAGAAATGGGTTGATGACACAAAAGGAACCAGCCACCCTAAATACATTTCTGATGCATGCATTTGAAGATCCTTCAGTTAGTCAGTTATGCTGTCTCATGCTACTTTGCTGTTATACCTTCTCATTTTCTGTTTGCAGTGAAGAGACAAGATTACCAGAACATTTGTAAACCAGTATGAACAATTTCAGGCAACAATTAAAGCCATGTAATGTTCCATGTTCCTAGCTGTCATTTTCTTCTCATTACCAAAGGCTACCAAAGGATTTCTTCTTTCTCTGTGCTTATGAGTCAATCCTCTATGATTGACTATGGTAGTCAATCCAGCATCAACTATTCGCTTGTTCTCTTTTATTCTGTCAATTCTCTTGCTTCTCCAGCCACCTCTCCCCCTCCCATTTGTTTATTCATCATGCCTTGAGCCCTGTTTACATAGTTATGAGTACTGCAAGGTGAGGCAATTTGATCAGTGTGGAAGTTAGAGGAGGTGCTTTGCAGGATGTTCCCATAAACATACCAATGAAACACCACCCTCACACCAGCAACAGAGAGGAAATTATTATTATGGCTTGTCACAAAATCAACCAGATGTTTAGACTGGATTTGGCACTTTTTCCACGTTATATTGCTTCCTTCCCAAGGACACAGGGTAGGTTCATGTGAATGTTTGATTATACTAAAGTATCGTCACAGGATGTAAGCTATTTGTGTAAAGCTGCCTTTTGCAATTGACTGATGGTGATTTTGTTAATGCCAATGGTGTTCAAATATGCTCCAGTTGTTTTAGGGATTACACCCAAGGTGCCTATTACAATTAGTTCTACATTTGCTTTCTTTTGCTACAGTTGTTCTATTTACAGGCCTTTTACAGGCCTAAAAGTACATCTCCTGTACTTTTGTTTTATTCTGCTGTCTCCTAGTCCTGCCACATCCACTATCCAGACTCCTCCTCCTCAGAAGTGGGGAACATATCCTGACATGACTTTTCAAAGATGGCTAAAACAGGTTTAATTTTCTCTGACTGGTGACTTCTGGTGTGATGCATAATACTACATTCATAATCTTGAGAGTTGTGGATAGCATATGTGAAGTTCAATATTTTTATCCATTGTTTTAAATGTTTATTTTTTTACAAATGGAAATATTTTTGCTAGATAGTAAGAGAAAAGTGAAAAATGGCCAATCTATTCTTAATGCTTATAAAGTAAGCCTATCTCAAGAAAAAGATATGAGAGGTACCTATCTTTTAGCAAGTGATATACTATGCAGATCCTTGAAGACCTGGATATGTTCCCAGGCACGGGGTTCAGATTGCTAGTTGGATCACATTAAATTGCTCATGTGCAGCAAATTGGTTTACCTTAGTTGCTCTTATAGGTTTCAGTATTTTATTTTATTTGGTTTTTTAATTTTAATTGTCATTCCTCTAGAGTTGTTGTGGTGAGACAGGTGGCCACTTTGAGTAAATAAATACATGCATAGAAAGTCATTTATTGCCTAATTCTCAATCTTTCTTCCAGCTTCTTCTGTACATATGACCTTTTGGCCATCTATTATGACAGTGCTACCTTTAGGGATAAAACTTGAATTATGGGAGGATGGAGTAGGAAACACATTGACCTTCTATTGACTGGATTACAAATCTCATCAGTGCTACTCACTCTGGAGGAAGGGCATCTTTTACAGACAGATAAGGGAAAACTTTTGTGAACCTGCCCCAAAGGAATGGATGATTCCTTTGGATAGATAGGGCATAGTATACAATCCCTGATTTTTTGGCCAGTCAGCCAATAAAAGAAATCTCAGCTTAATCTTCTCTTTCCGTGTATAATTGAAGTCATCCAGCGGAACACCAGCTCTGACCACTTCTCTCTCTCCTCCCCAATTTTGAAACCACTTGAGGCATGGTTTCCTTAACAGACTAGGATTAATCCTAGCCAGTATGACCATAAAGTGGACAAAGATCTGTCAGGGCTCTTTATTAAGCTTGGCTTGCACTTTCAATCTATGGAGTCTATATGTTGCCTCCTCAGACCTCAGAAAAACATTGTTGCTGGGTCCTTGGAGCAATCTTGCCTGAGTTGGGCTTCATAGTCTGGAAGATTTGCTGAACTGGTCTGAGTCCCAACTCTAGAAAAACCATGGCTTCTGGAAGCCAAGGAGTTTTTTTTTTTTTTTTTGAGGTGATTCAGCTGAAAAACATTGGTGACCATGACACCCTCCCCCACAATTCCTTCTTTCAAAATTTACTAATGCTTTGTCTGGGTCCAGCGCTTGAGAACAACAACTCCTCCCTCCTCCTCCTCCTCCTCCCTATTATCAATCTTTACATCTCAGTAAATTTCTCAGCTGCTAGTTCTTTTTCCCTCATCTATTTTCTATCACCTCCCCTCATTTGTTACATAGAGACTGCTTTTCAGGTCCCCCTTTCCTTTTTTTCTTGTCTTTCCTGGTGATTCCTGACTCTAACTCTCTCTCTTCCCTTCCCTCCCTCTCTAACAGAAAGGCTCTTACAGAGCTTGCCTTCCTTTCTCTAAATACTGCTGCTAATCCACAAGGGTGGTTCCTTCAGAGCTGCTTAAAAGCTGTTTTCCTGTGAAGGCTATAGTGCTCCTTCATTGCCATTTCCCATTTACTCTTACATCCCCTGCTGAGTGGTTTGTAAATGCTATCATTCTTTTCATTGCTGTTCTCTCAAAAGGATTATATTCTCTTAAAAGCTCCTTCCCAAGTGACTGGTACTTCCCCATTGAGTGCTTTGTGGGACTTTCATTGCTGGCCCCTCAACTGCTGTTTCCCTGTTGAGTCACCTTTCCCTAAGGATTGCTTCTTCATCTGTATTGCCATTTCCCATTGACTGTAGCAATAGCAATAGCGCTTAGACTTATATACCACTTGATGGTGCTTTTACAGCCCTCTCTAAGCAGTTTACAGAGTCATCATATTCCCCCCAACAATCTGGATCCTCATTTTACCCACCTCAGAAGGATGGAAGGCTGAGTCAACCTTGAGCCAGTGAGATTTGAACTGCTGAACTGCAGCTAGCAGTCAGCTGAAGTAGCCTGCAGTACTGCACTCTAACCACTGCACCACCTTGGCTCATCAGACTGTAGCCCTCAAGCTGCCCTCTCTGAATGCTTTTCTTGTTTTTATTGCTATTCCCTCACCACTGTTTTAAAGCTATTTCTTCATGGAATGGTATTTCCACGAGAGCTACTTCTCTTTTTCATTGCCATTCCCCCTCTAGAAAGATTTCACTTTCAATAAACAATTATTAATACAGCAAATATTTGCAACCAGTCTTAAAAGAAGACACTCTTTATTGCTAATGTAGAAGCTGGCCACCTTCAACCTGTAAACAATAGTTGATCTTAGCTTGGTTTTGTGATAACGATGCAGTATTTTTCAAAAGCTAGAACTGTGCTCTATGGAAAACTATAAGAGAAACTGTTCTCTGTACATACATATCTGTAAAGTCCTATTTTCGTTAATCGGATCGAGTTGCAAAGTACCATGCTTATGCCTATGGAGCTGAAGAAGCTTCTTGAATGAGAAGTGAAATGTTTTCAAAGAAAAACCAGAAAGTCCAGTTGTCTCTTGAAAAAGCACCTTTGGGACTACCATGCTTATGATGTTGAATCTTCCGTTGTATTTTGATACACAGATCAAAGATATTTGGTTTCCCTCTAATTACACGCATGGCAAGTGGTTGAGGAACAGGCAGAATTGGTGTTTGCTTTGGCTTTTTCTTACATGCTATGGTAACCAAGGGAACCTAAAATCCTCCTTAACTCTTCTGTTTTAAAGTAGCCTTTCCCCTCTTTTTCTACCAGGGCTTGTGCCATAAGCATAATTTTATGAACCAAATTGACCCTTAATTGATTGATGTGCTTGGAAGTTGAGATCTGTCCAACTTCCATTTGTTAGTTTAGGCTTTATCTCCTCCATTTTGTTGAAGATCATTGCCCTCTGCAGCCATTTTGGATTTGGCTCCTCAAGAAACTGGACATTTGGTTTCTGCAGAGGCATTTGCCTCTGCAATTCCTGACTGGCATTTTGCATCATGCTAGCCTAGTCTTTTTCATATTCTTGAAAAGAATACTAGTGTCATTATTTGGCAGGTAGACATATGTTACACAGAGCATAGATTGATATTGGTGTCTCTTGCTAGCTAGGTCCCTATGGGTGCATTACAAGTTTATCACCGTTTCTGTTGACAAGAAGTTTTGTATGGCCCAGAGGTTTCTTGGTTTTATTACTTTCATAGACTGTCATAAGACTGCTACAACTATTACTCTTGACTGGTCAGTGTTTCTGGGATCAATCTTATGCAGCTCTGGTTCCCATAGATGTTTGTACAACACACGATAGTTACCCGTGTCACCCTTGGAATGATGGGGCAGCACAATTTTGCTTTCCCCAATCTGACTTTACCATCATTCGGCATTGTGGTGATTGCTATTGTCACTCCCAAGCCAAAAAAGTCTGTTCAGGTGCCCACCAACTATTCCTGGATGTTAGGCACAAAGTAAGAAATAGATTCCTTGATCCCTCACTATCTTGATCACTCACATGCCTACTTTTTTGTGTCTTTGTTAAAGATAATCTTTCTAAACATGACCAAGCAAGGAAAGCAGCCAACAAAATGCCAACAGGGAAGGACATGGAAAATTAATGGAATAATTGTTCTTCTGTAAAACTGAAATAAAAGGATACAGAGGGTGCTGAAGTTATTCCATTGGACTTTAGAAATCTTTGAGAAAATTGCAGAAGAACTCTGAGAGCATGGACACCATCACACAACAATATTGGGGATTATGTAGTTGAAGGCTTTAGATTGGTGTCTGTTTGCCAAATGTCATTATTAGGCCTACTTTTCGCTAACCAAAGCTTCCTTGTCACTCCTCTTTCATGGGTACTTTCAGAAGATGTAGTGGACATCATCTGTTTCATGATCACCAATTACTTATTCCAAGAAAGCTCTTCTCCAAGGGTGGGATTTCTGAAGCTTTTCCTATGTTTTTAATGGAAGACTTCCTTGGGAAAAGCAGGTGGAATAGCCATATGGCACAATCCTTGCCTCATCTGACCCACCCAAAAGCAAAGCAATTAGGAATCAGGTAAGCAAATTTAATAAGAGGCCTGGTAAAATCCCAGGTCTGCAGGGAACTATGGGAAGTCAGAGGAGCTTCTGTACATAACTGTACTATTATGCTTCTACTACAATGGTTTGCCTATGATAACGGGTGAACGTAGGCACTTTGATTCAACCAGAAACTGCTAGGAGGTCCCAGAAAGTAAAAGTGCAATGTTAACATATGATATATGTTTGGCAGAATAGCAAAGATAGAAGGTGAACACACATGTGCTTCAGTCATGAACCACACTATTTGACATCACTGCTGATGACTGCAGGAAGGAAGAAACCTTGTGCACATTGTATGGAAGCATGGTGCATAATTCAACCTCTTTCTCTTCCCCAATGTTTACAGAATATAGAGGGTAAGATCTATCTGGAGGAAATGCAAGAGGATGTGCCTGAGTTTGGGGAGGAGGAAGAGGATGCAGATGTGCTATTGCAAGACAAAGATTTTAATCATGCCCAGCAGGTTCCACCAAACAATTATGGGGATAAGTTCCTGCCCCATAATGCAAAACCAGTCGTCCTGGGAGGGGGATGCAAAACATTCCAAGTATATCAACCATACTTACTATGTAACACCATTTGTCCTTATAAATGGGCAGACATTAAGGAACCAGAAGTGGAACATGAACTAGAAAGGTGGAGAGCAGAGAAAGAAAGAAAGACCATTCCCTTGACCAAGATTTGGAGGCCAAAGGGATACGCAACCAGGTCTGAGCCTGCTTCCCAAGTCTATTCACATTTTTTTATCACATCTTCGTTTGCATTCCCTCTTAATTAGTTGTAGATACCCTTTCAAGACCCACAGGAAAGTTGTTTATTAGTATTTCTTTTGTTGATCTGAGTAACAAGCTGGAGCAACACCTGTATAATCCCTATGAGATCTTTGGGATTGGGCATCATGTCCAAGTGATGCGCAACACCATATTTTGCTGCAGGAGAGATTAGGAGTTTTACATAACTATACAAACTAGTTATGAGTGGAATACAGTCCACAGAGGACATAAAGGGTGACCTTGATTGCGGTGCTTGTGGTGAATATAGATGTGTATATGTACATGTGATATACATATCCATAGAATTAAGCCCACAAACATTACACATATATTTCTCCATGTTAATGAACACACGTACGCAGGCACACATATACATACATAAACATATATATACAGATATTTATACACAGCATGTATGTCAAAGTAATAATGTGCACAACATATGTGGCAGGCTTCAAGGTGGAAGCAAGATAGATTTATTTATTTATGCTCAATACTGCTTATTCAATCACTGCTGAATAACTAGAGATGTTCAAATACACTCAATGCAAATAAGTATTGAATTCCACCCATGTTTATGTTTGTGCTCTATTACAGATTGTCCACCATTAAATGGGAGCACTCGGGATTACTGACATGCTGTGTTACCCACTTTCTGTAACAACAAATGGTATCATGTGACACATTTTGCTTCTCTCAGCTATTTGCTTACCAGCCCTAATGGTTTCCTGTAATCACGAGTCATGTTCCTTTCTCATGGAAGAAAAACCCAGTGCTTCTTATACAGATTTGGCAATCCCTCATTTCTCTACTGCACTAACGGTTTAAAATGTCTGTTTGTTTATTTCTTCTTTCATTTGCAATGTGAATTGGAGATTTGAGCTTTCCTTGAATTTTGAGACCCAGGAAAGGTAGCAAGCCAGCCACAAAGACATATTCTCCCTGGCTCACATTTATTTCCCCCCTGTAGATGAGGAGCCTTCCGCTTCTCAAGAAATGCCGAGATTTTGCAAATCTTCAGTTAGGCCTCCCCTTTCCTACTGTGACCCAGAGTTCCTTTATCCTGTGAAGATAACAAAGGGGACTGCCCCTTCAGTAGGAGCCTCCCCTTGTGTATCATTAACAGAGAGAACATTTTCAGGGATTGCCAAACAAGAAATCAGCAATTGCACCTTGAGGCTTCTTACCCTTCACTACATTTCTGTCAGTGCCACTTTGCTGATCCTGCAGGATAAAATCATCCTACCATAGAAGACTGCGGTTCGGTGCAGAGCGCTGTGCCTCCCAAATGTTGTGCAGAACTGCCCAAGCATTTATCACAGCAGCTGCACATTTCTCTGTGCAACTGGCAGATGTGCTCTCAGCATTGCCAACGTGCCTTTAGCCTCCCTAATGGATGTGCCACAGTGTTATGACAGTGATTGACGACACAATTACAATTTTGCTTTCACCTGCCAAGAGTGCCATAAGAAAGGCTTCACAATCCCTCTGAGGTGAGAGATGTACATGTGATTGAAAATCCATTGCTTGCATAGGGGATGAGGAAGTTATCCTGAAGACTAACTCCCCCCATGATGTGTCTTTCCAGAAGAATGGGAAGCCTTGCTACTCTACTTCTTTGGACATCATATCCATCTGTTTTGTTCTCCCTTATGCATGTTGCAGTGTAGTTTCAAGGTGATTTGTCACTGCTTTTTTCTGATTTTCTAATATGCAAAGGTATAAAGCCTCTTTTTAAAATGTTGACAATTCAGTTCTTGGTATTTCCCGCCAGATGGCACCATCTCATACATTTATTTTAATTGCTCAGTAAATACATCAGTGTATTTACTGAGCACACTTCCCTTCCAGACAGATTGGATTACAATTACTGCAATTTCCAAACAGGATTGGAATTGGGCATGTTGGCTAAGAACTATGAAGAGACTGATGAAGACACCTGGATCTCATTAGAATAAGAAAGGCCGGCAGATGCACTTTTGCAATGACTTTGAAGTCTTAAATAGTACCAAAGGCAAACTCAGTTTCCAACCTAGAATTGAAAGAATTTTGCCCTAGGGCCTAGGGCCTTTTGTCACTTGCACCAATGTCAGCATGAACATGTCTCAGCAACCTCTTTTTTTCTGCTCTGTCCCCATGACATGCCTTCATCTCATCCTCAATTTATGCCTCAGGTAATGCAAACTTGTCTGTAACTAATCTGGTGTTGAAGTTTTGCAGGCAGCATATCTTGACATGCTTCACCTACCAATCATCCCTCGGCCTGTTCAGGGTGGGGTGGGCCTTGTCCTAATTCTGGTTTCTGGGCACTATCATCCATGGCCATTCTGTTTTGGAGAGCAAAGCAGTCCATTTCTTTCAAACTGGCTGCCCCCCATACAAATTGGTCTTAGATTTATCTCCAGCTTGGACACTGGAATCAGCCTGTTGAGCAGTGGATCAGAAGTGCTGGTGAAGCAAAAGATAGAGAATGTCTTTCTTTCCACAACTCCCCTTGCACCTATCAGCTGTTGTGAGGCTGACTTTTGAACATGGTTTAAAGCTCTTCTGGAATGCTATGATGAATTGTAAAGCTGGCCTGCCCAATACGTGGCCACATGACTGGGGGTGGGGGGCAGGGATGGCGTGTCCATTCATTGTTGTTAGCCATAAGGAATTGCAAAGAAAATACAGCCTGGAACCTGAAAGGAAAGGAGGTGAAAGATGCATAAAATGAATTTTTTAAATATTGATCCTGGTTTTCATTTTCATTTTTAAACGTGAAAGAAGAAACATATAAATTATGTTGAAAAGAAAAAAAAGATGTAGAATTAGGATTGGACATAATTATTTTCAGGCCAATGGCTACACTTTGCTTTTGAATGGCACGCCAGATGTAAGGACTTAAACGGAACTTTTGTTTTCATTAACATGATTAAAATTAAATATGGTTAATTTAAATATAGGGAGAAATACGGTTTCCCCCTGCAGTCGTATATTAATAACTTCTCCCAGGATTTCTGGTTTAGTGCTATATGATACTCAGCCCCTTTTCAGCAATAAAATTGTAGTTTGTCTATTCTTTCCCAACAAACCTATACTGTACTTATTACCCTGGTTTCAGAATAAAGGATTGAGGAGAAACCTTTTTTTGGGGGGGTGAAATTCCCATTTTAAAAAAGGGAGAATAGTGTAAATAATTGCATTCCTGAAACTCATTCCATTCTCTTTCAGGATCCACCTCTAGTTTTGTTTGCATCAAGGATACTCTGTCAACCAATTGTTAATGTCTACTCCTATTACCTCCTATGGATGCTACATGCAAACAGGATAACTCTTGTCCTTTTCAGTTCATACTTTGGGTAATAAATACTAAACCCAGCAATCTTGGCAGACATCCTTTGTGATAAGGGCTTTCCCCCGCCATCTATCTTCATAGCCGGACTTATGTTGAACAAAGTAGATCATGCTAGGCTTTTCCTATCAGAACATCTGCTTTTACAACATCTTGCCACTCAGCTTCATTATTTATGAAAATTCTGGGTTCAGTTTTGTCTTTTGACTGCTGACAAGTAATGCATGACAACAATTTTGTCATAAATTTTAAGCCTTGCAGGAACCTACTGCATAAAGTTGAAATGGGCTATGATTGTAATGTCATTGGTATTTGATTATTAATGTATATTATTTTTCTTTTCATACCAAGAGATGTGGTGGTGTCCAATAGATTCTTATTTTGGTGTTTTGGTTTACCAATCAGATCAGTTTCAGCTCAAGAATCAGGATGCCCCCTACAGAAATACTGGGTTCTGACCATTTGTGGCCATATTTTTTTTCCATGTTGATTGCAAGCTCTGGGATCTGTTGTCCTGCTTATGTGGAAGGACACCAATAGGTAAATTAACAATATAAAATGAATGGAACCAAGATTTTAATTTTTTGTTTTGTTTTGTGGGGACAAGTGGGAAGAAGTTGGAGGGAAGAGGTCTTATTTTATAAACAAATGAAGTATATACCCGTATTTGTGTTTCCCACTCAAAATGGCCCATGGCACAATTGCAGACAATTCTGACGGCTTTACAGATGCCAAGAAAGCGATATGGGAACTGTAAGCAGACTTAAGCCTTCCGGATGGCAAGTCTTGCCTTATTGTATCTGTTGAAATGGCTTTCCCATGAAATGCTTGTTGAGGGAGTACAAAATTCTTTGCAACTTTATTCTTTCTTCAAGGGCTCAGTATTTTAATTAGTTGAAGCTCCCCCCTACCTTCCACAGCATATCTATAGATACCCCAAGGATGGAAGGATCTAGAAAAAGACTGGTGGGCAATCTTTTGAACCTTGAACTTGTTTCTTCATAAGTTTTCACAATTTGTTATCAATACTTACTACCTATATCACACAAAGTTCTTGGCCTGTTTCAATTTTGATCTTCCAAAATCACCTTCAAAGCAAGACGTTCACTGCTATTTTTTTTTTTAAATCATTTTTTTTGAAAGATTTTACATATAGAATATGAAATAACATTCAAAGGAAAATATAGTCAATGTGAAATAGAAAAAATATATAAAGAAAAAAGGACGTAGAAAATAGTAAAAAAAAGCAGAAAACATAAAAATACATATAAAGAATGTATAATGAAGATTTTTAAAAATCCTCCTCCTAGTAGTTATAATACAATTATAATCAAACCTCTCTCACTAAGAACTATAGCCTCTATAGATCATAATTCCCTTCTTCCAATAACCCATTCTTTCTAATCAAAACCATAAATCAAAAAATTGTTTTCTTTTTTATACAAAAACTCCTAAACTGTTCACAGTCATTGATAAATGTCAATAATGATCTTTCTCTAATCAAAGAAGTCAGTTTGGCCATTTCGGAAAGTTCTGTCAATTTCAACTATTCCTTCATGGTAGGCAATGACGAATCTTTCCATCTTTGTACATATAATCTCACCACAGTGATCATATATTGAAATGATATGTCATGAATGTTTTCTAAGTGTGCATCCATCAGCCCTAAAAGGAAAAGTTCCAATGTCAATTAAGCTTTCATCTGTTAAATCCGTTGTTATCAAAATATGTATTTGAATTCATTTTTAAAGCTTTTTTACAGGTCCACATGATAAAGGATCCCTTCATTTTTTTCCCATTTCCAAATTTTGAATCCCTCTAGTTAATTTCTCTGGCAGAAATTAACTAGAGGGTCACTGCTATCTAATGAGGTTAAGATAATGCTATCTTAACTAGAGCAGGCTCGCTGCTATCTAATGAGGAAGCAGAATTTTATTACTAGAAGATCTCTGCCATTCTGAAAATGGCAAAACTCTCAGAAGTTGCCAAAGTGTTATGGGTAAGAGCATTACAGTTAAATTCCCATTCTTTTGCATGAGAAACTAAACATGTGGAGGGATTATAAAGACATAAAATAATAAACATGACAATAAAAGATGGGTAAGGTAACTATAATTTCTCATTTATGGTAAGGGAGAGTTTTAATGAATTGAGTCAGCTTTTTTCACTGCTGTTAATTTTTAACAATTATGTGAAACACCTTCCAAGCTCTGATTAAGGATAATTAGTGAAACTTTGAAATACTTATCTATAATACCTGCAAGAAAAATAACCTTGAATTTAAGGTAAAATTTCCCCAAAACTACCCCAAAACTTTAGACAGAAAAAGAGGCTACATTCACTTATAGAAATACTGTACACCACCCAGGTTCCCCACCATCTCATGTTGCCATCTGGAGTTGCCCATTTCTGATGAAGCCAGTCTAGAGATTCCATCCTCTTGATCAAATGTCTGCATAAACTTCACTTCTATATGTACAGTATATCTGTATATTTATATGCATGGGCCAGAGACCACAATGCCAGAAAAGCTAGAACTAGGCCAAAACAGCAAAATTACTTAATGATTAATAATTGAAATTAAATCTGTCAGATAAGGTATCCTGTTCATAACATAAATCAACCCCCCATCCCTTGGCAGGTATGCACACAAGCAAACTATCCTGTTGCACAGAGACTACTTTTGAACACATACCTACAAGTACATACAGCACATGCACACACTACAAGAATTTGTTTAGCCCAGCTTATTCCATGTAAACTGGCATGAACACTTGAGAAGAGATCCCTGGGGCATTGTACTGTCTTTTCTTACAAAAGGGAAATAGATTGATCAATACCTTAATGGAAGGGAAGGAAGGAAGGAAAGTCTGTCTGCAGACTCTCACCCTTATGTGTGAAAAAGGAGATCAAGAGTAAGATCTTCCTCTCAGTCCTACTCAGAGAAGGGATAACTGTGACTTCTCTCTGTCCCCAAAGTCCTTTGCTTTTATTATTTGCAAGTCCTAGCCATTCAACTCCCTTTCAATCATCCTGTTTTCAGACTATTCTTTTGGAGTAAAATTAACCTTGTAAATACTGTCTGCACTTGTGATATATTTATAGCTGGTCATGAAAGCACTTTTGTTCACAGCTATTTGTTGGTCATTTTGACCTACCACTTTTTGTCTTTCACATGGGGAGGGTAAAGAATGTCCCGCAAGGCCCTCATGAAAGATAAGCAGTTCTCCTTAAAGAAGAAAATGTGAAAAGCCACTAATTAAGTGATTTTTGTTTATGGATTGTAGTCAGAGGGTCTTGCGTGAATGCTGTCACTTTTTACATTTGCTGCTAAAAAATAACCCTTCTTTAGCTTGAATTACAACAAAATGAGGTGAATAAGGAAGGGCATTGGAAGAGGCTGGAGATAATGGAGAAAGATTCCTGTAGCCAGATGTGCCCCATTCCTGCTGCAGCAATAAGTTTGTCAGATGTTGCCCTTATTGGTTGGGGATATGCAGAAGGGGGAGAATGTTATTTCAAGGATAATTTATAAAAAAAAAGGGCTTTGTACACTATTTGGGTTCTCTTAAGGATCCGATAAGGGATGCAGTGGTTTAGTGGCTAAGATGCCGAGCTTGTTGATCAAAAGGTAGGCAGTTCAGCGGTTCGAAACCCTAGTGCCGCATAACGGGGTGAGCTCCCGTTACTTGCTTCTGTCAACCTAGCAGTTCAAAAGCACATAAAAAATGAAAATAGAAAAATAGGGACCATCTTTGGTGGGAAGGTAACAGTGTTCTGTGCACCTTTGGCATTTAGTCATGCCGGCCACATGACCATGGAGACGTCTTCGAACAGCGCTGGCTCTTCGGCTTTGAAATGGAGATGAGCCCTGCCCTCTAGAGTCGGGAACGACTAGTACATATGTGCGAGGGGAACTTTTACCTTTACCTTTAAGGATCCGAGGACAATTATTCCATTGGTAGAAGTCAAAATGTTAAACTGTATAGCACGGATTAATTATTATTATTTATTATGAATAAAATGATTGTGAAATATTAAGTATTAAAAATATGCTTATATGTAGTTTTTTTGTATGCCTTTGAGTGAATGTTGACTCTTGGTGATTGCCTGCACGAGTCCCTGCAGAGTTTGTTTTGGCAAGATTTTCAGAAGTGACTTGCCTCCTTCTTAGAGGGACTGGCCCAAAGGCACCCCAGACTTTGTGCCTAGAGTGGGACTGGAATTGATAGTCTCCTGGTCTCTAATTCAGTACCTGATCTTTAACCCAGCACATTTAACCATTATCTTCTCTTTTAATTTGGCTTTCAGATAGACTGATGAATGGATAGAGAGAAAGAGAGAAGATGGAGAGAGAGACAGAAAGAGAGAGAGAGAGGGAGGGAGGGAGGGAGGAAGAGAGAGAATGTGCCCATATTAAATTCCATTTTAAACTAGGTTCTTTAGCCAAATTGATAAGTTAATGATTACTTTATTAATACTGTAGCAAGTTCAGATTCCAAGGTTTACTCTTTTCAATCTCATATTACAAGCACATCCCATACTAACAAGGAAGCATGGAGTGGGATGGGGTGTAATTATCCCGATTTTCAGTTGTACTCTTGGACCCACATATTCTGTTTTCTTTTTTTAATGAATGAAAATGAGATAGAATGATCACCACTATTGTTATAACAAAGCAGTCATTATCTGTAACACTTGAAGTCCTGGGAAGTACTTCGTTATAACGGAAACAGTTTTATTGTATGCCCAGTAATAAAGATTGCTAGGCATCTTTGGAAATTATTGGGAAAGAAATTAACATTTGACTCTTGTTCTCAAGAGAATGTTATTTCTTGAAAATGGTGGGTAAAGTTTTCTTCTGGTAAAGATGGGTTCAGAGGAGCTCAGACCATCTTTTTATTAATGATTAAAACAATGCAGTTTAATTTTTTAAAAGAAGACAACAGAGATGGGGGATCCATTTACCTAGATGTGCTGTACTTGCAAATCAAGGGGTTTATCACTGAGCAGTGAGTCAGAACCGACACAATAGAGGAAACATGGGGAATGGGGGGCTACAGATGTCTTGCCCATATAGTTTTCTGTTGATCAGAAGATGAGTAGATAGTGGTACTTGCACATTGATTTTTATTCATTGAAATCTGTAACAGGATACAACTGCTGCTTGGATTTCAATATTGCATTGCTGAGCAAGCCACTTTCTCTACCCAATTTGATTACGCCAAGGATTTTAGTCAGTGCAAAATGCAGTTATCCTCAAGCAAAGCAAATGGTGAGTGATGCTCCCTGATCCCAGACTGGTTAATGCCTGAAAATAAGTTGTCTTCGCCTCCCAGGACCTATAGCTATGGAATCAGCAAACAGTTAATTCAGGGGAAATAATAACTCAGGAATGCATGCAATGAATGGCAATATTGAGATACCCATGTTTGCCATAACCATATCTGGAAGGAAATTGTATACATTTATGATTATCTCTCATTTAAACAAAAAGAAATATGTTTGGACAAGGTGCAAACTATGTAAAAATTGATGACCATCATTCCCAGGACGTCAGAATACTTTCCCCACAAACAAAGACTGTACATTCTAGAACTTTTTAGTCTGGATAAAATACATTTTCCCCTAAACTAACAAGGATTGCTTAGATGGCTTCTGAAAGATACAGAAAAATGATTAAGAAAAAGTAGGGATAAGAATTAATATAGCACTGTAAATTTTCTCTCATAATTGGCCAAAGTGTAATTTCTGTTTTTTTAAAAATAAGTATAATAGTGAATTTTTTAAAAAAACCATTATCACTTTGGATATAGTTTACGGAGAATGTTCCAGTATTTCTAAATACAGACCTATCAGAATGAACCTTTTTACAAGGTCAATAACACCAGGGTTAGTGATTCTTGCTAATTTACACTCCAGTCATTAAAAGAGTTAACTTCCTTTTACAACTCTATGAGGACAGCTGTGGGTTGCTCAGGTGAGTAATCTGAACTAAGAAAGCCTTATATAAACTGGAGCGTTCCATTCCTGAGCCAAGTCAGAATCCTCCTCATCAAGACTTTCATCTACAAGTTTTTCATTGCCATTCCACAGAAGATGGGTTTCACTGGAAAATATGAAATGGAAAATGAAGAAAACTATGACAACTTTATGAAGCGCCTAGGTGCGTATGTACATTTTTTTTCTCTTTCATAAATTAGATGTTTCATTGGCTAGATAAAGAGAGTTCTTGCCCTGTGCATTTCAAGAAAAAAGCATTATCTTTGCATTAACTTTGTCTAGTTAGTAAAATAGGGTGCAAGCTTTCAGGATTTTAATGATATGGTTTTTTTGGGGGGTGTTGGTGTTGGATGAGGACAAAATGTACATCAGTGCAATAGAATTCCACAGTGTCTGTAGGATTTTTTCTGACAGTTTTTGTTTTTATAATTCAAATTTTTGTAATTCAAAAACTTGCAGCATCTTCTTTTTCAGATAAATTAGACTGAGTTATGAGAAAGCTTTCATCAGCAGGCTGGAAAAGCTGCAGATAGGTATTGTGGCTACTGATTGGACAGTTCCTTTTTTATACATTTATAATCATGAAATGTAACAAATTCGCTCTACCAAAAACAATACTTTTAGGGACAAACTTCCCATATAAGAAAGGTGACTTTTCATTACTATTTATAAATATGAATTCAAGATAAATGTAAATTCAATATAAACCCCCCCCCCCCGAACGTTCTGGGGGAAAAAAGAAAGCAATTGAACAGCAGCACTTTTATGGACCCTGATAAACAATTAACAGGTGCAGTGTTGATTAACAACTGATTCTTATTCCCTCTCTCTTAGGTCTTCCTCAAGATTCAATTGAAAAAGGAAGAAATTTCAAGATCATTACTGAAATAGTACAGAATAATGATGAATTCACTTGGTCTCAGATTTATCCAGGAGGGCATACCTTGACTAATACGTTCGTTATTGGCAAGGAATCAGAAATGGAGACAGTAGGAGGCAAAAAATTCAAGGTAAACAATTGTTTGGCACCATGACTTCCATCTTGCAGATTTGGACTGCCCTGTTCCTTGATGTTCCTGGTCCTGATCTTAAGTGTTTATGAACTTTGAAACATGAGCAACGATTGTTAGGGTTCCATATTTGGTATCATGTGCATTTGAATTATCTTTTTTTACCCATCCACCCATCCTAATTACTTCAGACCCTACTGACAGAAAGTTATTTCTCTTGGCCTTGATAAAAATACTATCCGCAGATCCTTCGCCCAGCAGAAAAATATATCGGTACAACTTTGGCAGCCTCACTGCCACTCCATATTTTATCATAGGTACATGCCAGGAAATGGGGCAGCCTATACCTATAGGGTACTCTAAGAATAGAGATTAGTGAATTTGGTTGTCCAAAGACAAGTAGTCCTGGTGGAAAACAGTACCCATGCATTGAAGGGATGGGGCATGCCTGCAGACATCTGAAGTGGTCTATAGATGCCACAATGGTCTCATTCTCATATATCAGCTGAATGTAATGATGTGCCAATAAATGTAGAACAACTGGGTCTGCAGGGTCCTTTACCGCATCCCTGCTAGCTAACAAACTGGTGATTGGCAAGGTGCGTCAGCTCTGCTCTCAACCAGCTTGCAAAATACAAGAAAATGCAACAATCAGTTTTTACGTGCCAGCTCCAGCACACTACTGCTTGACTGTGACACTAACATGAATTGTATTAGATTGGACCCATGGCAAATTACTCTAGCTTGTTGCCTACTTAAAGGGGAAAAATACTACTTTAACTCTGGAACAGCATAGATGGCTTTAAGTTGCTATGGAAATAAGATTGGAGTGAGATGAAGGATATTATGAAATCATGTCAGAAAAAAGAGGTTGCTAGGATATATTTGCGCTATGGAAAGATTCAGAGTAGCTGCAGCTTTGGAACAACATTTCTGTTTCTTTAACACACTGGTTGGATCCAGATTTATTTATACTGTACTCAATGTAGTCTGTATGAAATAAATTGAATTTTTGGAGGTCCAGTGCCAGTGATTTGTATGGCTATCATTAAATCCAATCCAGTTTACATAATTAATTTTCATTTGTTCTTTCCAGCAGTGGTCAAACATCTGTCTGAAAGCAAGAGTGAATATAGCATTTGGTTGGATTAGGGTGCTCATAGGTTTGCCTCAGATATAGATAATTAACAACCTGTATACAATCCCTGGTTGCAGAAAGTAAAGCTACTGACCTCCCTACACTGGGGACCAGATCTGTGCTTCCCCCAACTAATGACAGTAGAAAACCAATTATGAGTAGGAGAACTAGGAGGAAGGCAACATGACTGACCAACATTTTCCATGATTCCTTATTTAATGTGGTTTATTTCTTACAGGGGAAACCATAATTTGCAAGAAGGTTAATGGATGGCTAGCAGAGATTGCTTTCCACATCATGCTAGAGACTGGTAAAATCAGTAATAGAAAGCAAGGTTATACTTCTCACACCTTTCCCCAGCATTGGGTGAAATAATTGATTTCCTATAGTTTGCTAGGAGGAAAAAGGATCAATATGACCTTGAGAAAATAGAAGGGCTTGAATGATAAGCAACAAATTATTATGTGCCTCTTGAAGTCATCCTATCTGAATCTATATCCTTCCTACCTTTTATCCAATTGCAGAAGTTAGCATTACCTGTAGAAATCTACAAATTTAGATAAATCTAGAAATACAATGGAAGAACCTAGAAAACACCAGTGACTTGGAAACAACTTCCTGCTATTTTATAAAAGTGATAACAGTTGGAATAAATGTAGCAGATGTGAAAGTTAAGTAAGTCAAAACAAAGTTAGCAGATGAGTAAGATAAGAAAAAAAGCTGGGATAAAGTTAGCAGATATCAAACCTAAAGGTTGAACGTATTATATACAGTATTTCTACATACTGAAAAAATACTGAATACAAAAAATATGAAAATCATACATTTAATTTTGAATAGCTTTGTTTTTTTTCTTCAAAATGATAGCTTTCGAAATAGAGAGAATCGTGGCGTCTCTGTTCATTTTTCTTCAAGTTCCAGCTCATGTAGCACCTGTCTCCTATAAAAGAGGCAACGAAGAGGAGAAAGGTAGCTTCATTGATCACCACCTCACTATTCTGAGATACTTGTAATCTTTTCCCAAAAAAATCAGGAGGTATGGTGTTGGAGAAGGAACGTGTAGACCGAAATGCACAAGTCCATCCTCAGTCATAGAAACTAACTTAGTGAATTTGGGCCAGTCGTTGTTCCTCAACCCATTTTATAAGGCTATAAAGATTCTTATAAATTCTTAGTCTGGAGTTCCAAGGAACCTTTTTGTGACCAAATATTCTAGGACATAAGCAGTTATAATACATTGTAGGAAAAAAATTGAGGCTCTATATCTGTGATGGTGAACCTATGGCACACGTGCCAGAGGTGGCATGCAGAGCCCTCTCTGTGGGCACGCACACCAATGCCAGCTGCTCTCTTCCGGGTTCTGATGCTCTGGCACATGTATGCATGTGTTTCAGTTTTGGCACTCAGTGCCAAAAAGGTTAACCATCACTGCTCTTGTAGTCCTTGACTTACAACAGTTCATTTAGTGAACGGTCATTTAGTGATCGTTCAAAGTTACAACCGCACAGAAAAAAGTGACTTATGACTGTTTTCACAATTATGACTTTGCAGTGTTGCCATCATCATGTGATCCAAATTCAGATGCTTGGCAACTGGTTCAGATTTATGATCATTGCTGTGTCCTAGGATCGTGGGACCCCCTTTTGTGACCTTCTGACAAGCAAAATCAATGGGAAAGCCGGATTCACTTAACAACCAGGTTGCTAACTTATCGACTGCCTTATCAATTCACCTTACAACTGTGGCAAGAAAGGTTGTAAAAAAGGACAAAACTCACTTAACAAATGTCTAACTTAACAACAGAAAGTGGTTGTAGGTCGAGGACTAGCCCTATACAGATTAGCTCTTAAGAGTAGGTTTGGATAAATATAACAAACAACTAATAAATATATCAGTAATTTAAAAATCCAGCCCTTCTTACATCTCCTTAGTTCCAGAAAATGAGACTAACAAACAGGGTTGATGCTCTGCCTAAAATCAATGGAAAAACTTCAGATCCTGCTTTAAAATTTATTTAGTTATACTCAGCTAATATTCCCCCCACCCTTTTAAACTAGAAGAAGCAACCTTCTACCACTCATCTCTGCTTACGTATTCATGCGGTAGGATTTTATTTTTGTTTTTGGTACATGAACATGGTTGCTAAAATAAGATCCAGCAACTGCCTGAACTAAGTGTGCTAAGTGCTTACTAGGTTATTTCTAGCTATTATTTAGAGTTGTTCTCAGGTATACTTGCAATCAAAACTATTTTCAATCCCAGAGAAGATTCATCCTGCCCAAGAAGACTTCCATCTAAATGCTATTGAATGAACTTCAGCCAACAAGGCAACTAACGCATGCCAATCTGTTTCAGGCAATAGTTAGAAAAGAAAATGGCAAAGTGACTGCTGACTTCCCAAACTACCACTATACTGCAGAAATCGCTGGGGATAAACTTATTGAGGTAAATCTTGGAAAATAACTCTTTGAAGTTGGAACGTGTGATGTCAAAAAGACTGGGCAGAAATATGTTAACATGAAAAACTAACTCAATATATATTAATGACGCTGAAAGGAGCAAGAGTAATAGGACTGTACAGCACTGCTGATTCCAAGATTTTAAAAAAGTTCCTTTTTGCAGGGATGTGAGCATCTCTTTTCAATTCCTCAAAGCAGCTGCATCTTTACCAGGGAATTCTGGCTGCCCTCTGCAGCTGCCTTCTCCACACCCCTCCCAGGAAAAGAGTCCTTTAGATTAGAGTTAAACTCTGGTACTTTGTTCTTAGTGCTGAAGAACCTTTTTGAGTTTAAATCTGAAGCAATGCACTACTCTAGACAATTGGCTCCAATATATTTGCAGTGGGATCGCGGTGGCTCAGCAGTTAAAGACACTGAGCTTGTCAGTTGGAAAACAGCCCAGGTTCGCGACCCAAATGCTGCATGACAGAGTGAGCTCCTGTTACGTGTCCCAGATCCTGCCCATCTAGCAGTTTGAAAAGATATAAATGCGAGTAGATAAATAGATACCACTTCGGTGGGAAGGTAACAGCATTCTGTGAGCCTTGGTGTATTAGTCATGCTGGCCACACGACCACAGAAATGTCTTCAGACAATGCTGGCTTCCTTGGATAAGAAATGGAGATGAGCATTGCCCCCTAGAATCGGACATGACTGGACAAGGGAAACCATTACTTTTCTTTATAGTTGCAGTAAATGGATCAGTAAATCAAAGAACAAGGGGTGAGTAAGGAGGACTAAAGTCCATGCTTTGTAGGCACATTCTTTTAAAAATGTGATTGTGATAGCCTCCTTCCATGTATCTAGTGTCGCCAAAATAGTCTATCACCTGCTGAAAATAAAAATATGAAAATTCAACATATGAATAAATAAAATATTAAAAAAACTATTGTCTGCTATGACCAGGGGTAAAAACAACTGACTTATCAAGAGTTTGTTAAGCTTTATCAAGTCTTGGTCTGGATTTCTACAAATCCTCTTTTTATAGCCAGAAGTTCCAGGAAATAAGAATACCTGTATGAATTAAGATGCAGCAATGGAGAATTTTGAAACTGGCTGTTCTAAAATGCCTTGAGGATGAATTTGGTTCATTTGCTCAGCTATAAAGATCTAATGCAGAATTTTTAGATCATTAAGAATTTCAGAAGAAGAAAGCTTTCAGCTGTATATGTCAGGACGCAAACATGGTACTAGATATAGATTTATTTATGAAAATGTATATGGCCACCCAAATCATTCTCAGTGACTCAGGACAGTTTAAATATATATAGTAGATATATTCCTCTATGGATTCAACAAAAAGTACTTCAATTTATTTAACAAAATGAATTTATTAATTCTTTAAGGTTTCTACAGTTGGTGATATAACCTTCAAAAGAATCAGTAAGAAGCTGTCATAAGAGATTACTTGGAGAAGAAATAATCCAGTCCTTAGCCATATTGGAAAATGAACAAAGTTATATAAAGTGATAAATCTTCCTCTAAGTCTGCTTTTTGCTTTGCAAACAAATAAAATACATCTTTTATTATTCCTATGTGTCAGTGGTGGAATGTAAAATTTGTTACTACCAGTTCTGTGGGCGTGGCTTGTGGTGGTGGGGTAATGTGACTGGGTGGGCATGGCCAACTTTTTTTTTTTTAAACTTTTAAAAGCATTTTTTCTACAACCTCTTCAGCCGAAGAGGTTGTAGAAAAAATGCTTTTAAAAGGCTCTGACAATCCCAGCTGAGCCGCGCGATTATCAGAAGCTTTTTTTTTTTACTTTTAAAAGCATTTTTTCAGCCGTAAAAAAAAAAGCCTCTGATGATTGCATGGCTTAACTAGGCGGGGGGGCGGGGGGCGGACAGGGATTTTTGTTACCGGTTCTCCAAACCACCCGCCGCCATCGCTATCGGATCGAGTGATCCGGTCTGAACCGCGAACATTTCACCCCTGCTATGTGTAACTGTTCTATTGGTTTTCCTCTTCCCTCTATACTATATATCATGTTGGTGGAATCTTGAATTATTATCTTACTATTCCTAATGAAGAGCAAGATTTCAGGCATTGCTATGTAGGAACCTACCATAACACACATGATAAAGAGTGAATGAACACTTTTCTTTTCACGAGCATATTCTGGCTGGTTTTCCACCATGCGCTATAGCAAAACCAAGCAAATTACGTTTTGGCTTAGTACATTCTGTATTTCCAGCCACAATAGTTCATCAAACATGTTTTGGAGCATAGTGTGATGTGTGAAGGGTGGCTTTTATAATAATATGATTATGAACAAACTAGCACAAACAATTATTTATAGCAATGTGAGTCTGGTCTATCTATATATACAAAATTTAAGAAGAATGACTTGTGGTCATTTTTAAAAAAAGCGGTTGCTGTATGTGCAGTGCAGGGGTGAAATTTAGCTGGTTCTATCGGGCTTGGGTGAGCTGATAGCCTCTGCGCATGCGCAGAAGGGTTTGCGCATGTGCAGACAACAGTGCACGAGGAAGCGAGCACATGCACAGTGCACACATATTTGCAAACTGATAGGGAAGGTAAGTGAATTTCACCCCGGTGCAGTGTTTCAATTAATCATATAACTTGTAAGAAAGCCTTCCGTATTGCTACCTAGAGGACACTGACATATTTAATCATCATAGCTGCTTTTACAAATCTTACTTTTTAAAAACTGTATTTCATTTGCCATATCTAACTGCTAGCTTGCACTATTCTAATTTCAAAAAAAGTGTCTCAATTGTTCCATGTGTTCCAGCTAGTTTGAGGACTCACAGTGTTTGTTGATTGTGACAGAAGCCAGCTTTGCATGCCAGCACACACAAAGAACAGTGAACATGGTGAAATATTTTTCTCTTCATAATGAATACATGGTCATTGGTGACCATTTGAGAAGAGGTGAATATGGTGATGAGAAGCTGTGATCCTCAAAACATGTACATACAACAAAAAGTAACACAAAAAAGAAAAATATCACTTTTCTTTTCAGCTATACACAGCGGTCTGCTCTTTCTATAGATCAATATTTACAAATATTTAAGTATAAACTTATTTGATGTTCATTTTCTACTTTATATCATTTCTTCTTTACTAACAAAAGATCATACACATTTCCCCCTCCTTTATTCATTCATTTAACTTATTTCCTTATGTTTCAACCATTCATACCAGATCAGATTCTGAATAACAAGCAAAAATTTTCTAAAATTTCATCATCTAAAAGTTTATCCATCGAAATCTGTATCCAGTCTGTCTTCAAAATAACTTTTAAGATTAGAAAAAGTTATAGCTGCCTTCGCCATTTTGATGCTTTTCTGTGTGATCTTTTAGTTTCCTCTAGTGTCCATTTATAACTTTCATCAAACCTCAGTTCCTGATATGGGTTTAATTCTGTTTGAGTTGTTTCCCATGATTATATTAATTACATACTTGCTTTTCAAATCATATAGCAAACGTAATATGTCAAGTCTCTTAATATGTTTAAAACTCTCTTAAAATTCTTTTTTCTCTTTGCCAATTGTATATTGTTTTAAATTCTTAAGTGTTTAAAATTTCTGAAACCCAAAAACAGTAAAACATGCCAGGTGTCACATTAAGTTTGCTGTTTTGATGGCATCTAATATCCATAAAGTGGTTAAATTAAACATTTCCAAATGTGATTAAAAATGAGTTTGGCTGGCTTAATGTTGTTATGAAAGGCTCTGCAGTTGTTGAGAGCTAGGAGCTAAGATGTCATCTTCCTTGGCTCCTGGTGCTCAGACTCATGGGAGACCACTGTTTGATGCTTTCCTCATAGCTGCCATTCAGAGCACTCATGGGTGATCTCCCATCTTCCGTTCTCTGGAGAAATACAAAGGGTCCGTTCACTCTCCGATCCTTCGTTCTTCACAGTGATTGTGGTCACCACTTGTTCGTGGAGACGTCTTCAGCATGTCATGACTCACACTGGAAACCGAATATGATTTGACTTCTTGAAATGCAAAACACATACCACAGAGCACAAATGACTAGCATCCTGTTACTCAGAGGAATCAGCCAGTGATTTTCTGCTATCTTTTTGCATTTTCAGAAGACAAGCCAAAGCACAGTCAAACACCGCCCTCTCCGTGACAGGAAAGCCATGTGTTGAAGCTCAGTCTTACACCGTGTCACTTAGCAACCAAGCCTGGGCATGTGTTCCAACTGGTAGCTCAAAACGTGCAAATCCTTTAAACTCCTGCTTTCCTATGTAGATGCTGCCACATTTCCATCTGAAACTGGGGCTTTTCGCTGTCATTTCACAAAGCTGCATGGAAAGATTTGCTCTATTGCACCTTTACACAACTACCGGTTTCTCCCCCCCCCCCCCGCAACTAAACCCCACGTGTCCTCCCTTGGAGATGGTACTCCAACTCAGACAAGAAGTAAGTACTTTGTTTCTTACTGTCTAGACAGTGCGCCAAAAAGAAAGCTTCCCAGCTAGCACAAAACAAACACCCTCCCAATCAACTACAACAAAGAAACCCACCACCAGTCTGGAGGAGAACAGCACCAAGTCTAATTTTACATTCTGAATACAAGACAATTCCCTTTGTTTTCGGTTTTGAATACACTCGTGCTGGTACCTTCTGTGACTGCTTAGAGCAAATCAAATCAAATCAAATCTGAAGTTATATTTAATTTCCTTCTATAGTTGTGTCTTGGCATTGAAAAGCAGTGGAGGCTAAAAATATTTAAAATGTTTGCAGTGATGGGGGAGGAATATTGTTGGTTCACATAGTGAGCAGTCATAATTTTAATGCAAAAATAAAAGTTTACCTTCCATTGTAGAAAAAAAATCAACAGCTTTCAAGAAATGTAAAGATAGAAATTTCTGTCTGATTAAATGTTTTGAACACTAACTATGGGCCTATGTTTGTGTGGGTTGTCAGAGAAAACTGAATTTTAGCACAAAAGGTTGAAACATGATCCAACTAAATACATTACTTTAAGTATGTGTCCAATCCCCTTAAGAAATTCCACTTTTTTTATTTGAATAAATGAAAGCAGAATTTATAAATATGCAATCAGATGTTTTGACTGTATACGTTATACACATGTCAGAACATGTGAGCATCTGTTTGCTAATTCGCCCTGGTTAGGAAGGTGCTAGCCAAAAAGTTACCCTTCTCATGACTAAAAAATTGCTAAGTCCCTACTAGAGGTTGATGAAAGTTCAGTTTGCTTTGTCAGATGTTCTTGTAGCTCACACCTATCGTAGGTAAATAAAATTAACATTAAAATAAAATAAAAAAGTTCTGGCCCTATCAGCTTCCAACTATTATGGTAATATATTTTATTCGTTAGAAGAATCCAATTTGGTCACCATAATGTGATTTATCATTGTTATTTATTAAATAGATAATAGTTGAACAGTGCATTGTATGGTTTTAGTGTGATGTGTAAATCCTGTCACATTCTTTCTCTAGTAGAAATATATACACAACCCTGAGCTCTTTTCAGATATGAAATACTGTTATGTTAGTTCAGAGGATTTATCCAGGTTCACTATTTGAATAAGCTCCTTGACTGATCACCATACTGGCTCCAATCTAAAACCCAGGATGTAAGTATGTAGAGATTTCCAGCATTAAACTGGTCAGGACTCAAATATTATTTTTCGGGGCAGAGTACAAATTGGTATTGCCCTTCTCCCTGCCCTGATGTTAGATGTAATTATGCTACATCACAGCCAGGGACAATTCACAGGCTCTGATGTTCATCTGGTCCATAACTTATTATGGGGTGTTACATCAATCTAGGGATTTAATTGGAAAGGTGACTAGGCAAACAATCCAAGCACTGGAATCAGGGTCCCACGTATGATACCTGCTGTTATTACATTTTGAATATGCTATCCTCTGGCAATAGACTGTTCTATGCTCTATGTTTTTTTCATGTACTGAAATTGTAATGTCCCTTCTTCACATTTTCTCGATATCTTCATTTTATGTGCTAACATAAAGCATTGCTTTAATTTCCCCTCAGGAAATAACTATAACGGAAAAAAGAAAGAACAAAACTGGTTGTGTTCCAAATAATCTCTTGGCAACTCTTCTTTCTGGGAAGCTTAATGCTTGAGATGAAATTCAAGAAATGTATTCCTGCCATCTTCTGGAATTACCTTTTCTAGCTCCTGTGTTTCTTCAAACGCCATGAACCAAATGCTATAGAACAATTGTTTTGTTGGATAAAATGTTATCAGTTTAGGACCAAAGGCAGAATTTTTTTTGGGGAAAAAAAGAGGCACGAATCAGATATGATAGGGTTACATCTTCCTGATTTTTTTTTTTTGCAAATCTTTTAAATGAATTGATGGTAATAGTGATATCAACTGTCTATTGGAATAATATCACATATCTGGAAGCATTTTTCATCAGCATTTCAATATTATCAGTTGATTATAATTATAATTTCTAGTTACCTTTTCCACGTTTTTTTTTGAATTTACAGCTACACCTTGGGAAAAGAAAAGCTCTGTGTAATTTGCTTCCACTGCCTCTCAGTCTCTCTCTCTTCTTTGTCTCTCACCAATCTCCATATGCATGAGGAACTATCAGAGTTTTAGTTTTTGAAATAGAATACCACATAAGGGAACATAAAATTCCTCTCAAGTGCCTAGATTAGGGATGTCAAACTCGATTTCATTGAGGGCCACATCAGGGTTGTGTTTCATCTTGGGGCATGGTGGACGTGGTCAGTTTGGCAACACTTGTGTCAGGGTCACCTGTAGTGGCCAAGTGCTAAGGCAGGACTTGCCTCAGACCCTCCCTCCTTCTCATTATAATCTTCCTTCCTTCCTTCCTTCCTTCTCCTCCTGCTCTTTTCTTCTTTTTCCTTCCCTCTTCATTCTCCTTTCTTCTGCCTTCCCCTCTTTCCTTATTTTTCCTTCCTTGTTCCCTTCCTATCTTTCTTTCTTTTTCTTTTCCTTTCCTCTTTCCCTTTCTCCTTTCCTCTCTCTTCTTGGATGCTCAAATGCAAAAGGGGAAACATTTCTCCTTTTGTTTTGTTTTGCTTTTAGTTTCTTTTGCTAGCTCTCTGCCAGTGAAAACGGAGCTCGGAGAGGTGGGTGGGTGTCTGTTTTTTTTTTAAAATTTGATTTATATGCCGCCCTTCTCCGGAGACTCAGGGCGGCTTACGCTGCGTTAAGCAATAGCCTTCATACTTTTGTATATTTATACAAAGTCAGCTTATTGCCCCCACAAAATGGGTCCTCAATTTACCTACCTTAGAAAGGACGGAAGGCTGAATCAACCTTGAGCCTGGGGAGATTCGAACTTGCAGTAATTGCAGGCAGCTGAATGTTAATAACAGGCTATTAGTCTGCTGTGCCACCAGGCTCTTCACTGGCAGAGGGCTGCAGGAGGCCATCATGTCCGAAAACAGGGCCCCAGAGGACCATCTGTGGCCCTCCTATGCTCCATTTTCAGTGGCAGAGGCATTGTGGGCCAGTCCTTTGCTGTTTACAGGGCACACTGAAGGCTGAATCCGGCCCGCGGGCCTTGAGTTTGACACCTAGATAGAATGAAGTACAGAGACACTAGGCATCTGGATCGGGCAGAAACTCAAGCTTCAGTGTTGCTACCAATTGGTTCCAGTAAACCTCATACTAGGAACCTCTTTAGATAGGACACAATTTTCCATAAAAAATTTCATAGCTGACAAGTTAGTAATTATTCCTTTTATCTTCTGAAAATAGGAACACCATGTAAGCAAAGCTTCCTGGCTCTACAGGAGTCAAGAAAGTGTACCCATATCTCTGCCCACTCCCTGCTCATATTCAGGAATTAGTTTTTTATATTAATGAGCTGTTCAATGGTATAACATACAACTGATAACAAGTGGAGTCAGGCATCATGAATAGATGCCAACTTCAGTAAGCTAATAAAAAGGACTAGTGTTTGGTAATAGTTGTTCTTGAGTAGAAATTCTGAGCTGCAAATATAACATGAGAGAAGGCTTTGCATGCTATTTAAAAGCGCTCTGTTGCAGTGCTGAGATTCCTTTGTTCTCATCAGCTATAAGTGGAATTTAATTCCTTATTTGCACAATTGAGTATTGCTTCCAGGAAACTAAATTGGAAAGCAACTCAATTCTTTTTAATTATAAGTGAAGTCTTGGAACGTCTGTTGGCAAAGTGGAGTTAATCAGATGCTAAAACAGGTCGAAAAGGTGGCTCTCCTGGGATACATATGTTGTATGGTGTGTACCTTTGCAATAGCAATCTTGTGCATATTCAGCAGCATCAAAAGAAAGCCTAAAAGAAATCAATCAATTAGTAGCCTCAGAGGCCTTCTCTTCTATTGTGTCACATGCTTTCTAGAGCAGCGTTGCCTATATCTTTGAAAACTTGACTGTTCTCCCAAGCCTAGTAATGTAGTTGTTCAGTCTTTCATTTTATATTTGGCATGTTCCACGTGTTTCTTCCTGAAGTGGATGGTCTTATTATTTATTACTTTTTACATGGTAAACCACTAGATCATTGGGTAGCCTCTAGATTAATTGAATCCTACCACTATGAAGCTCTGTAACAGGCATGGAAGGAACTGGAGTCATTTGATTAAAGGGTGTAGTAGAGCCTACGAAGATTATGAGCACCCAAAAGGAGACAAGTCCATTAATGTTTTGTGCTGTTTATTCAATAAACCTTTTAAAGACAGAAACAGAAAATTTCAATACACAAAAACACCTTCTTTACAAGACGTCATGAAATAATCAGGCCAAATTCTATAAGCTTGAGCTTTTCCAGTGGTTTTTACACAATTAAGTGACTACTGTCTGCTTAAATGTTGTAGTTAAAAAGTTGTATATAAATACATAAAAGGTAACGTACAAGTCCAGATACTATTTTTTGACAAAGATGTTTCTAACAAGGAAAGAAAATCCATACAAAAACATTTCCAACTTTGTCTTGCTACATATGTTGTCATCAAAAGCTGGACAAGCCCAGTCTGCAATAGACTTTAGCAGAACTCATCACCAGACTTTTCAATAAAAAGGAAACATTCTTCCCCTACATTAAAAGCAGCACTCTCTTTTTCAGTTAAAAATTTCTTCACTTTCTCTCTGAAAATTATAACTTAAAGCAAAATGAACGAATAACATTTTACCACTGCATTCTCAACAACAAACTCTACATATTCAATAGAATAAAAGCATATTGCACATAGTGTTATTGCAATCCTGAGAAACATTCCATAAAAATACTGTCATTCAGTGACAATAGCTCCATATCAAGTGGCAACTTGACACAGTAGTAGACATCTTCAACATATTTTGAAATTGGAGCAGAAGTCTAGTACAAAACTTAATCATACAAAATTGTTTAAGGCCATGATCCTAAAAGTAAGTTTACATAGAAATATTAGAGCACTGGGGCAAGGCAAAACCTGGCAAAGTATTGTTAAATCTATATTTTTAGAAGAGAATCAGTGGTGGGGGCATGGTACTGTAGCCCGCCCATTTCCATCAATTATTTTCTGCTAATGTTAACCCCTCCCCTCTTTTCCAAACTTACAGTACTTCCTAATTCTGGAGTCCAGCTAGAAAGAACCAGGTCAAGGTGCTAAAGAAGCAATTGCAGAAAGAGATTAGCTTTCTTTATCATTGTGGTTCATTCCTTGCTTTAAATGCTAATATTCAAAGTGAATTATTATTTACTTTGTCATGTTGATTTACATATTGCCTTAAAAATAGCTTGCATGGCAACCTATCTCAATAGTCATCTATAGTATTGTTCCAGCTAGTATCTTTTTAGGAATGCAAATTGTTTAATCACCTTTTATTAACCTTACATTCCTTATTCTTGAACCTTTTAAGTGTTCTTTCCTCTTTTAAGAGTCTTTCTATGTATATTTTTGTCTACTTTTCTAAGTCATATTGCAAATTCCTAACATCCTATAATAAAAGGCAGCAGTTCCCTTAAAAATTAAGGGATTTAACTATTTTTCTTTACAGTGAACTGCTTCAAGTAAACATTAATCCCTGATATAACTTGTAAACCATATTTTCTCAACAAATGACTGTGACATAAGGCAGCAGCATTTCAAATATCTAGAGGTACTTTAAAAAGGCAATTAAAAAATACTATACATATGAAACTCAAATGGTGCTTAACCTATAAAATGTATTAAAAAAGTTCCAAGTATTTCTCTCCCTATTTTCATGTTTAATATATTGCTGTGCGAATCTTCCAATAAGCAACAAGGAAGTTCCTTCATAAAGTATTCAGAGAGAGAGAGGGAGGGGGAGAGGGAGGGAGGGAGAGAGAGAGAGAGACATCTTAAGGTGAGTGCAACAAACACTGGCCTTTTTATCACCAATAGAAGGTTCCTGGGCTAAAAACTACAAACTACAATCATCCACTTGGCAAACCTCATCAGGGAAGCAACTATACACATGTGCCACAGGGTAGTTATCTTACGGCAAAAGTTTGTCTTATGGAAGAAGCTTTTCCAATTCTTCCTCCCTCAAAATGAAGCCTGGCAAATCTGGGAAAGGTGAGGTATATCTTTTTGCATTTTTCTCTTAAAGTCTTGCCTCCTTACAAAGCACACGTACTGAGAAATCAAAATTGAGCTGGTGAGTTGGATCTGTTTTTTGTCCAGCCATTTCTTCATAGAGATCCTGCTGATAGTGACATGGGTAATCTGGTTCGTGTGCTCCAACCCTGTGTTTTTCTGGCAAAACATCCTGCCTCTCTCTGGCTCCCTTTTTCCATAGGCGCTCAGCCATCGAAACAGCCTGCTGTGTATGAGTGATGCCTGCTGAAGTAGCTGCTGCCGTAGACCAATGAGAGGCAATGTCTGGATTCTGTCGAAATGGCTACCTGCATCGTGATTGGCCCTTGGAGAGACATGGTCTGCAAAACAGGTTGGAAATTCTCCTGCAGGGCAGAGTAAGTACTCAGCGTACTATTCCCTGAACTGAGGCCACTGGATCGAGGAGCTTGCAGGGAGTCCCGATAAGCGGAGCACAGATCCTGTATCGGAGAACAGAACTGCGACAGGACAGCTGAGGGCTGGGGCAGGGGGTGGTACTGTGGCTGTTGGAAGAGAACCTGAGTTGGCGTCTGTAGGTTTAGGCTTTCCATAATTTGCTGCTGCTGCTGCAACAGAGTTAGGGAATCTTTTTCCTGTGTGTCTTCTCTGGGGTCCTTACTGTGAACTTTGCTAGAAGAAAATAAATCAAAAACACAATCAAACCACGTTTTGAAAAGAAATGTGAAACTAATTAACATGATGTGCTAAGAAACAAGTATCAACTAGCACTGATGATGTTACCTAGTTTGGGTAATCAAATATTTACACAAAAACAACCAAGCTCAGAGAGCACCAAGGACCCTTCATGTCAACCCTGAGCTACAAATATTCTCCTTTATTGGCAAGTATCATTTATCAGATTTAACCCAGGGGCAATATTTATAGTTACAACATTTGCTAACAACAATGGACAAAAGCATTTCCAGCTTCCCAGATAGCCAAGGTAGTAGAACTGGTTAAATCTTTTAAAATCTACGGTTAGTTTCTATATATTATTTGTTATCCATAAATCAATTTTATATACAGATATTAAGAGATTAATAAACTACAGAGTTTGAAATTCCTGTATTACCTAGACAATAGGAGAGCGTCTTAACTAGTGTGTCATTGGACCTTAAACTACGACTTATACAACAAAAATATAATTGGATTCCATTACATTTGTATTGAAAACTGTCTAGGAGAGCACTATGTTGGAGATAAAAACACACTTTTTTCCATTGCCCTATACTTACTACGTTTTGTGAGAAAATAGTGGAGTACTTATAAATCTGACTGTACAACAAACAGCTAGTATTTTCAGAGGATAGTATTCTCTTGAATTACATATCTAGTACATAGAATCTGACGACAACTGGACAACATGAATGGACTCTCTGTGCTATATTACAGCTAAAAGATTGACATTACATCATTGGAAAGATAAATGTACGGCCTCATTTACTCAATGGATTCAAGATCTAATTACACTTGCTACCTGTTAGGGGATTGCTAATAGACATAGACTTTGTATGGATAAATATAATGAAATATGGGACTCATTTAGCAAAGTACAATAGATTAAAAAATCTATTGTACATAAAAATTTTATGTACTCCGAGAGCATATGCACCAAGACAAATTCCTTGTGTGTCTAATCACACTTGGCCAATAAGGAATTCTATTGTATTGTATTGTATTGTATTGTATTGTATTGTATTGTATTGTATTGTATTGTATTCTAAAAAGGCATGATTGTCATAGAATATAAACATATGTATATTATAAATATTAGATAATTATATATAATTGTAACTGTTGTTTTAACTTATAGTTTATTTATTTACTTATTTTTAAGCACTTGTTACATATTTTTAATAATGTGTTTATCTTGTGCTTTGTCCCTTTTGGGTTTTTTTTCCTGTTATAATTTTAAATGCAATAATTTAAAAAAAAATGAAACTTGGTTGCTGAATAAATAAACTTCCCCATAATAATTTTGTGTTTTCAGTAATTTTATAGCTGAATACCATTTACGTTCTCTTGTTTCAAGTTCAGGAAAAAGAAACTAATGAACAAGAATTGATGGTGTGTTAAGAATTTATTTTAAAAGTGTTCATCAATTATCTATGCAGGAATCTATTATATGAACACATAGTACCATCTATTATATTAATACATTGCAAAGGCTTAGGATAATGGGAGCAGGAACTATAATCATCCAAGAGGAAGTGTCACTTGGTAAAATCTTGGATCAGGGCAACCACAGGGCCCCTATCTATAGACCAACATTTTATTTCCAAATGCAAGCATAAGTCACTGAAAAAGATTCATTACCAATAGCAAATCCTTTTAATTAACTTACACATATTTTCTTGGGCTCGTGCAACTACCTTTTGAGACCAGAAAAAGCCACAATTTCTTTGTAGGAGCAGCTAATAGACAAGGATCCCACTCCTGTTTACTTTAGATCCAAACTTGGCATCTGTCTGCTCCATAACACTGTATTGGCAGCTCAGGAGAATGGTCTACTTCACTTTGAAACTTACCCAAGCATGAGTTCAATGCAAGGAACAAGATGTTCCCAGGAATAACATGTCAGCAGTTGAAGCTGTGTGGTCCACGGGGGAGAGATCTCAAGGTAGACGCGGGAGGCACCCACACAAGCAGCAGCAACCAGAGAGGGCCGAAAAGAGAGAAAAACATGATCTGGGGGGGGGGGGGGGGGAAAGAGAGGAAACAAACATATAAGACTGCTGTTTAAAAATTAATTCTCTTTGGGACAAAACTGATTTAATATTGAGGTGTTGTCATGGCTGTTTGCAAGGAACATCATGGAAAGTTACTGAAATCTCTTGGTGTGCTGTATAATAACTTATGGTATGAAAAATGCTCTTAATAGGCATTTATTTTACTGCTTCCTTTAGACCTCTAACATTGCAATCATGAGCATGCTTACTTAAAAATTAAACCAAATTCTGATGCTGTCCAAGCAGTGAGGCTTCTAGAATGGCCTGCAAAGCCAGGGCTGCTCCAAGAATGTGTAATATTTTGCAAATCCCCTCCCCCACCCCCAAGCTGAATGGAGGAAAATTCAAAATTAGAAGGTCTGCCTGAGCTTCTCCCTGAGTTACAATGTAACAGTGCCATGTTCAGACTGCTGGAAATTTTAAATTTTGCTTTTATGGAGGATGAGAAAAAGAGTAGACAGTTTCTGAGTTTCCTTTGCAATAATTGGAAAAAGTTGAAATTACTAATAACGTGTTAAATTTATTAAATTTATATGCTGCCCAATGCCTAGCAATTCTGCCCCCTCATTTCACAGGACATTGACAATAATGTGATGTGGGTAGCTGCACAGGAGAATGAATAGCTGACTTAGTGAGTTGGGTCCTTTGAATACCACCAACAAAATTCATTGTCAAGCAAACATGCAGCTGATCATCCTGCTGATACTTTATAATCGAGAAATCGCCATTTGGTGCTTTATGTCCTTTAACAGCATTAGGAAGAATTGAAAAAATGTGCTTTAAATTATCCTCAATCTTGCATTACCTCTAAGTTGAAAACAACCCAAGAACCAAAATTCAGCAAAGTTGCGATCATAGAGCTGAATCATGGATTGATGAGTTTTTCTAAAATGGTTGGAGGCATAATACTGCCTCCTAGTGGCTTTTCCTTTCCATTCTCACATTCCTATTTAAAAATGTGCTTTAAATGCTCAGCCTCATCAGGGTTTTCCAAAGTCAGTATTGAACCTGAAAGCTCGATGAGACTATCCAAATGATTATTATCATTCATAGTAATAGTGTGTACAGAATTATTTTCTTATAATAACTGTTTGGGATCAATGAACTGTCTAAAATTCCATGAAGGGGTTGATGGGCTGAACAGCTTGAGGAAATCCCTGCCTTAATCCCTTCTGGTAACATTACGCCTTCTTTTGGTCCTCAAGACGACTAGGAGGCTACGCTGTGGCTTCCTACACCACAAATGGTCGTAATCAAGATCCGGTTATTACCTTGCAGTGAAGCTTCTAGGAATGAGTGAGAGCATTTCTCCATGATGGCTCTGAACTTGGTGACAGACGTGATGGGCCAGCCTTTGTGGAGGTCACCCTCATTGACAGAAGCGAAGAGGTAATAGTCAATGTAGTGCGCTGGGGTTGGCAGACACAGATTCCAATTGAAGCTCTCCAGGAGCAAGAGTTCCATCTTCAGAAGGTCTTTTTTTGTAAGTGTTAGATTAAGGCTGCACATATAAGCAAAGTTGTTCAGCAGTTCTAGTTTGGGCACCTTATCCTCCTTCTCTTCAAATTTGCCTAAGGAAAGATGAACACAAGGAGATTGATTCAAGGCCCACATCTATATGTTTAAGCCATCTGTAGATTTGTTAGTCCTCATGGATACAAGAGGCCGAGAACTGTTTTTTCTGCTATGAAAACAAACCACAGTTCCATCATTTCTGAATTTGTGGAATTATAAAATGGATCTGAGACCACGTTCTACCTTTTCCCATTAGACAAATCCCAGTTTTAAATTCAAGTATCATGGATAACTCTGAAGCATGAAAAGGAAGAAAGAGAAGGAACCAACATGGGGGCGGGGGGATTTGCAGCATTTTTTAATGCTAAACACAACCAATATAAAGGCTTAATTATGTAACATTCTTACTTAGTTGTTCAGGAATTTGGAAATATTTACTCTAATATTTATTTATTTATTAGATTTTTATACCGCCCCCTCTCCCGAAGGACTCGGGGCGGTGAACAGCCAAAATTTAAAAAACATACAATATAAACATTAAAATACGTTTAAAACAGAATTAATCCAAAATGGCTCCCCAATTTAAAACGCCTTACCCATGACCCTATAAATAAGACGAATTTAAAATTTAAAATTTCCACATTTAAAAAGGGGGAAGATTTAGGCCAGGCCAGCTTGATAAAATAGAAAAGTCTTAAGCGCGCTGCGGAAGGTGCGCAAATCCGGGATCCTACGTATCTCCGGGGGGAGCTCGTTCCAAATCGTAGGTGCCCCCACAGAGAAGGCTCTCCCCCTAGGGGCCGACAGCCGACATTGTTTGGCTGACGGCACCCGGAGGAGGATAACTGGTCATGGCTTCTAATCTTCCAGTTGTTCCTTTTCTTGTAGAGTCCCCCAAAAGCACTTCGTCCAGGTTTCGAAGTTAGCTAATGAGCTAATAATACAGATGAAATATCTCATTTCCATATTCACAACAGCAGGCAAAAGCTGAAGAGATTTGTCTGAACGTCCGGAGTACACCAAAGCTTGTACATTCCTGACAAGCCAGAATTCTGGTTTCTCAAGGAATGAATCAGTGTCTCACCAGAGGATTACTGATACTGCAACAGGTATGAATGTCAAAAACTCTGATCCTATTCTATGTTAATAAAAATTATAAAAGTGTTTTTTTTTCCTTCTTCTTCCTTAAGTTTCACGCATTTGCAATCAGCATTTTTCTAGCTTGTGGGATCAAAATCAACATGTAAAAATTGTTTTGTGGGAGCAGAGTACAAAGGGCGGACAATGAATACTAGAAGACACACTGATCCCTTCGCTTGTTTTTGTTGTTTTATTAGCTGCTGCTTATCTCCACCCTTTCAGATTGGTCTTTTGGAATCTAACTGCACCAATAACCATAGGCCACACGCTCCTTAAAAAGCCTGCTCAAAATGGGTTTGTGTGCATTTCATTTGTTTAGGACCATAACAGCTTTCCAACAAGGGATTAACAACCTGAAAAAAAAATCTGCTACAACCTTGAAATACTTTTGCTTAGACAATCTGTCAAAATGTCTGCACTACCTCTAAAGACTTCTAAGGATGCATTACAGAGTTAGACAAGCCATTGAGAAGCAAGTGGTGGCTGAACTACAATTCCCAGCAGCACCAGACAGGAAGGTCAATGATTAAAGGGTCTGAGAGATTTTCTGCCACAAATACAAGGCTAGCTTGGCTTCTACTTTTGGTCTTCCAATATCATAGCAATGTACTGGGTAAAAACAGCTTTCATGTCATTACTAGAATATCTAAAGGCCACCACATCGAACACACAACATTCTTTAGCATAGTTCTGCTTGTACTGGACTGTACAGGTTGTCCTTGACATACAACCACAATTGAGCCCAACATACCTATTGCTAAGCAAGGCAGCTGAGTTTTGCCATTTTACTTCTTTTGCAACAGTTGTTAAGTGAATCATTGCAGCTGTTAGTAACAGGGTTGTTAAATGAATCTGGCTCCCCATTGATTTTGCATGTTAGAAGATTGCAAAAAGTGATCACGTGATCCCAGGATACTGCAACTGTCATAAATACATGCCAGTTGCCAAGCGCCCACACTCTGATCATGTGGTCATGGGAATGCTGCAGCGGTTGTAAGTATGAAAACTGGTCTTCAGACACCTTTTTCAGTGCTGTTGTAACTTTGAACAATCTCTAAACAGATGGTCAAGGACTACCTGTAATTTGAACAATTATTTCTATGCAACAAGAAGCTGAAGACATCACTAAAAAATTCAAGCCCAAAGATTGCTGAAATGCTGTCTTAAAAGCCACCATCTCTTGATGCATTCTACTGCACGATTTATAGTGGCTTTCTCCGTACATTTACTTGAGAAAGACCCCTCCCCACCCAATTCATATTGAATGATTTCTGTTATCATTAGGTAAGGTGACTTACTTGCAAGGAGAAGACATGCAATTGAAACGACATATAACTGCTTCACAGTAACATCATAGCGATCCATAAAAATATCCAGCAAGTAGACAGCAAGGTGCCGAGCTGTGGGACAAAGTTGGCAATGGCTGCTGAGGACAGTAAGGAGGTGAGCAAAATAGTGCCGTCTTTCAATTTGTGGAGAATGGGCCTTGTAGATCGGCAGTTTCAGCTCCTATGGCAACACAAACAAGAGTGGGAGGGAAAGAAAAGAGGAATATCCATTTCAGTAAAGAGAATATCCAGATCAGCACTGCACCACCTGTTCTGGCAAGTAGATAACAACCACATGAATACAAAATGATCCCATTCACCATCGTGTCTGGATAATTAGGTATTGAAAAGCAATTACATTTATACAAATTGTTTGTATTCTAAGAAATAAGAAACTTCTGTATGGAGAGAGATCCAAAAAAAAAAAAATTCCAGCAGCTGTTACGTTGTATATTATGCTAAATACTTAATCATATTTCTGATGAAGAAGCATTATTTACAAAATCTTATGTTAAGAGTGGCATTTGATAATCCTGACTTAGGAAAACCAGGCTCTGGATTAGTTTTGTTTTTTTTTTCCAACTGAGGTTCTATGAGAAATCATGATAGACAAAACAAACAAACAAACAAACAAGGTTTTTCAAACTATAACTCATAAAGGTGGGAATTCTCCAATAATACCATTTGGTGGCTGACCTGCTACTTTGCTGTTCTTGTATAAAGGTCATAAAAGTGGTAGAAATTACTTGTATTGTGAGGTTTTTATATTTTTAGGCAGGTGTTCCTTAAGACCTGAAAATTATTTCACGGTTTCCTCCAAGATTAAAAAAAAAAAAAAAAAAGCCGAGAAAGACTGCTACTGACTAAAGAGATCGTCCTGACCTTGTTATTATAGAATCTTCACAAAAGAACACTCTTCTGTATATTTGAAGACGGGGGTAATGGCAAAGGTGATGGGGAATTCACTTAAAGCAAGCAACATCCTAGATAGTGCTTTCTATTCTTATATTCAGTTGGTTAGATAAATGATGCATAAGAATTTATCTAACCAACTGAATATAAGAATAAAAAGCACTACGGAGGATGTTGCTTGTTTTAAGTGAATTCCACATCACCTTTGTGGAATTCAAGCAGACGCAAAGTCGGAATAGAAAGCAGCTTTACATTAACAGTACTCTTGGCAATGCAACCTTGCTTTTAAATTTAGATGCATTTGCTTAAATAATTCAATGCCCGGGAGCAAAAGAATGAATTATGTAAATGTAATTGACTTGTCTACACTTTTCAAGCAGGAGCAAGAGCCTGGAAGGTGTCTGTGAAGGTATGTGGTTTAATCTCCCTTGGAAGACAAGCTTGATGAAAAATTTCCCCAACCTTTCCAACTAACAGGAGAGGGAAAGGGTTGGATATTCATCCAGATCACAAATAACTCAGTTTCTAGAACCAGTGCATGCTGTGATGGCCACTGTTTATGCTGGAAGAACTAGCTGCATTCAAGCAGCTAATTTTGCCAAGGAACAATGCAGCCCAAAGCCAATGCATTAGCATTCTGATCAGAGAAGACAACTGGATGAAGCTTCAGTGCCTCTTCCCAACTTTCACTCTAAGTTTGTGGGAGGCTTGGATGACATAACAAAAGCAGAGGACTCCCTGATAGCTCTTCAGTGGCACTGCCATCAAAATGGAACAAAAACAATTTAATGCCTTTGAGAAATTCTATACATTAGTTCAGTTTTGCATAAAATGTTATTGATACTAAGTCCTGAAATTTAAAATCCAGGCCCAGATATGTTCTACTTCACTTTGTTTGTTTTTTAAATGGGCTAAAACAGTGAGGTTGCCTTGTTTGTAAAGACTTGATAAAATCTCTTAAAGAAAAAGATCACAAGTAAATATTTATACCATGGTAAAGAAGACCTGATTTCCCCAGGTATATATGCTCAACTACCTACTGGGATGTACCAGATGCATTTACAAACAGGATTAGATGTTCCCACAAGTCTTTGTTCAAGAAGCAAAACGAGTCAACACATTCCTTTCAAAGACAGAGTATTTTGCAGTTTCTGACTTGGCTGGAAATAAAACTGGATACAAAATCACAGAAAACTACATCTTCGTCATATTTAGCAGGCAGGCAAGCAGGTATTCTATAATGTCTATTCTATACTTCAAAAGCCACTTTTATCCATCATCAAGGGAGCAGAACTTAAGAAGGACAATGACGTTCATTGCTTTGATTTTTGAAATGCCAACCATATAGATGTGATATATAGTGCTACCAGACAGAGAAGACACTTCAATTAAAAAAAAATAGCACTAATACTAGAATAATAGTACAATTGAATTACTGACTGGTTTAGTATACACTATGAAGTTGGAAACAACCCTGGAGATAATCTAATCATCTCCACTGTTCAGTGCAGTATCCACTGGAGCACTTGTGAGAGATGACCACGCAGCCTGTCTGAAGACCTCAAGGGAAGGAGACCTCACAACTTTATTTGGCAGCCTGTTCCCACTGAGAGCTTGTACAGTTCAAAGTTTTTTCTACTGTCTAGCCTGAATTTGCTTTCTCTAACTTTAATAAACTACACTGCACTTTTAATCCTGACTTTTTCAACAACGGAGGAAACATCTACTCATTCATCTAAGTGACAGCTTTTGGATCTCTGTTATTTCTTCTCTAACATTACTCATAGGGTAACCTTTCACCTTTTGCTCCATTTTGCCCCTGTTGTTTTTAAACTGCAGTGTGCAGAACAGGACACGCTACTCCACATGAAATCTGATCAGGCACTATAAAGTTGAAAAAATTACTTCCCACAATATGCTTTTTAGGCTGGTTATTGTATCCCACACCACCATTTTAATTTGCAGCACACTATTGGTTCATGTTTAATTACTTTTCACAGGTATTATTGCCAAGTCAGATCTCCATCATCCTATACTTAGTATAGTATACTAGTATAGTATACTAAGTATAGTATACTTAGTATACTATATATAGTATAAATTAGAACATGATATTTCTCTCTGTTAAATTCCATCGGTTTCATTTTAGCATACAGTTCAAGCTTGTCTGGAGTTTCTGGAACTTCCTCTCATTCAACTAAAAGATCAGCCACACCTTGCAGTTTTATGCCAGCTGCAAATTTTATAAATGTCCCATCAATTCCCCATCCAAATCATTGATAAAAATGCTATATGACATAGACACCAACATAGAGCTATGGGCACTCCCTTGGATATTTTCTTCTAAGGCGAAGAACAACTATTAATGGCTACTTTTGGATGCTGTCACTTGACAATCCAAATAAAGATGTATTGATTTAAGACGCTTATATGGTCACTATAGTGATAAGAATATATATAAAAACAGGAAAAACCAACACCCTCCCAAATAACTCCCAGAGTTGCAAAACAATACTTCCCCATATGCTAACATTCATAAATACTGAGCTCCAGCCTCAGCCTGTATTAATGCCAGGGTATATCTTTAAGGCCTTCTGGAAAGTTAAAAGGCTGGGGTCCTGCTGTAGGAGGAGGCACAGCAGAACCCAGGGGCAGTGTAAAAAGAGGGATCAGCCTAAAATCCCTAGTAGCCACAAGCAAACTAAGCAAACTAGGTCCAACTCTCCTCAAATGCTGTTGACCCTTATCTAACTCTAACCAGATGCTGATTTTTAGTTGAGAAAATTCCTGTGCATATGCTTTTAGCAATAAATCAGCTTAATTGAACCTTCATGTGTAGACCTGATCTTTCACCCCAACACCTGCCAGATCTGGGTACCCCTACTTTTTAATCCTATATTAGAGAGAATAGGTATCATATAAATAAAAAAACTATTCTTGATTGCTGAAAATATTTTATATTAACTGGAAGGTGTATGGTTACTATCCAACAATAAGACATCATGTGTACAGTTAAACACTGAAAAGGAAAATGTTTCATTACATGTAAGAATTAGAAGGAAAAAAACCCAGCTTCGAAACCGTCTGAGCTGCAGTATGTTTAAGTCTATGCAAACAGGTTAACACTTATAACCGCCAACAGACTAGAAATGTTAGGTAATTGCCTAACTGCCTAGGTAATGTTAATTTTTCCAATTAGATCAGATCTCCCCACTCACTAGACATAACTGGGAGGAGCAATCACAACACTAATCCTTCAAAACTGTTATCAGTGTTAACTGTCTTTCAGGCTTTGTGAAAACACAGTTTTATCTTTCACCAATCAGGCACTGAAAAGCCAAGGAGAATATTTGGGAGGGTGGGAGGAAACATAAGAAATCTGTTTCTTCTACCTAGCACGCTCCATGGGTGTCAGATTTCCAACTCCACAGAGCAGAGGTACACAATCAGTTTTATACTAAGATTTCTACTTGTTTTGATATGATGTACAGTACCAGACCCTGCACTTCAATACTGGAGCCAGTAAAAAATAAGTAAATTTGGTCTCAGTTTAAATTAAAACTCCACTACACCAATGCTGCTGCTAAGACCCATTTGCATTATTTTTATGTCCCACACCCTTTTGGATATGCTTCAAGTACTTGTGGTTGTGAATATGCTCATACTTTGTTTCAGAGATCTGCAGTTTCCATAATTTCCTAGGACCGAGATATAAAATCTCCTACTCTAGAATGGCCCCAAAGCTTTGTTTCCCCCAGAAAGGCTGACACCAAATTGTAATTTCTCATGAGATAGAAGAATATTATTCATAGAAAGTAACTTCAATTGTATTTTTATTTTATTCTTTAGTATCTTCAGAGGCGGATATACTGTAAATAAATAAAATTTCAGGGTCAGATCTACCAGAGTTCACTAATTCATGTTATTTTTCTGCATACACATGGAAAGAATTAGGAAAACATTCTCCTATGGCAAGATCCTCATCATTAGCTGTTAATTTATTGTGGTTTATAGCCAATAAGGGAAAAAAATTCAAGAATGAAATGGTCCTTTGAAAATAATCTGGTATCATCTAGAGCAGAGGTCTCCAAACCTTGGCAAACTTTAAGCCTGGAGGACGTCAACTCCCAGAATTCCCCAGCCAGCTTTGCTCCAGGCTTAAAGTTTGCCAAGGTTTGGAGACCTCTGCTCTAGAAGCAGGGGAGAAATAATTTAAAAAAAAATTAAATAGCCTGCTCAAAGAAACAGAAGACAACATTAGCATATACCGAAGTAAATATTTAGAGAAATAAAACCTCTTAGGAGATTCTATGCATTGACTGTTTCTTATTGCAAGTCACATTACGTTACTGAATGATGCAAATTAAGAAAGAGATTTGTTCTCTCATATGTTCCAAGCAGATGAAACTCATGCTTACTTTTTATTGCATTTTTTTTCTTTGAAAAAGCTAGCATATGCATTACTGGCAACACAATGAACAATGGGATATCCAAATCAAAAGAAGCTGAAAAATGTGCAACCTATGGCCACGTGTGCTTTCAAAAACACACCACCTGTCATGCAGTTTGCTCATCTTAATTTGAAACATAAACCTGTTTCTGTTTTTCATGCGGGGTGCTGAAAAACACAGCTAGATTAAAAAAAACATGCCAAAAGGTCCTTTTCTCATGAAATATTGGCAATAAAAGGTTATCCCAACTAATAGCCTATTTAACAGACATAATTCTGAATATTCCTGAAATACAAATCTCCACACCAAAGCCATAATAGTGCAGAATATAGTTAAAAACCACCAAAAAATTATTCAGAACTAAAAGGCATATCTGCTATGCAGTATCAGGGACTCTTCTCAGGAATCTTTACAATTGTTGGAGGTTTGTAGGACAAAAAAAAAAAAGAAGCTATCTTTCATTCAGTGGATTCCAATGCAGCTCTGAGAAGTAAATCCACCTGTGTTAAGAGAAGATTGTTTACTTCTAGGACTACCGTAGCTTTCAAACCTTTCTTTGTTTGATGGATCAACTCAGAAATAACCAAGCCAAGGGTCAACAAGATTTGGCTCCAAGTAATGATGCTATGTTGTAGCCTAATTGATTTTGTTGTAGATGTACCAGTGTTCACTTATACCCCTGTGGCTTCAAAACTGGTTCCTGAATCAGTGCAAAAAATGTATCCCTACACCTAGACCACATCTATATACAGCTTTTAAAAAATATTTCCATCTCAGAGAGTATATTGCAAGATAAAACTGTCTGAATTATTAATCATCTGTTCATGTGTTTAGATAGATTTTGCTTTTAGGGGGGAAGAAAAAAAATCTAGTTAGGCGTACCGGATTTTGACTGCATAATTTGGACATGCAGCAGATGGCAGCTTGGAAGTAAAAAAATAATAATGGCATTTAGTGGTCATCCAAACTTTTGCAGACCAGATATGGCAGCTTTATTTTTAGTAAGTTAATCCTTACTTACCAACTTCCTTGTTTAGCAACTGTTCTAAATTACAATGGTGTAAACCCCCCCAGATTTGTGACCAATCCTCACATTTACAACTATCACAATGATTGCCATTCAGGCACTTTGCAACTGGTGTGCATTTACAATAGTTGCAGCCTCCTATGGTCACAGGATCACCATTTGCATGCTTCAAAATTAGCACCTGAAAACCAGAGTTCATGGAGAAAACAGAAGTAAAATCACAAGTCATGGTCACTTGATGACTCACTTAATGACTAGTGTGATTCACCTAATGTCAATGAGAAGTGACAGGTCTGTCACAGTCACAAAATTTTCTGCTTAGCAACCAAGTTGCTGGTTCCATTAAGAGAGTTGCTGGTCATTAAGAGAGTACTAAAATGTATCATTTCCCCATGGAAATCAATTCTTTCCATATTTACTCAGAAGAAAATGTAAATGTGCTTAAATTCATCCATGTATCCCCTAGTTGAGGAACGTAAAATGGGTGGCCTTGTTAGATAAATAAAACTTCAGATGCATGCTTATCACATTCTTTGAAATAGTTATACTAGCAACTTCAAGGCGCATGGATGTCATGGTAATGGCAATTATATAACTGCTGTGGAGTTTTGCCAAAGGAAGAAGCATAGCTCTGAAGAGCCACATCTACTACAATGATCATTGGGTGCCTGCTTTAGAAGAAAGATGAACCCTGAACAATAGACAAAATTTCCAAAGATTTTAATGGATACAAAACAGGAAACCCTGGGGATCTGATTGGTTGGCCGGTTTGGGGAAGTTGCCCAGGTCTCTGCACTGTCCTAGGAATTAATCCTATTGTTAGGCAAATAGGCTTTCAGGAGGCAGGGACGGTCAATTTGGCTGATGGGATTAGGCAAAAAGAGGAAGTGGGTTTGACCTTGGCCATATTCAAAAGGGGGAGGGGGGAGGAGAGTAGTCTCCATTTTATCAGGTTTATTTTTTCAGCTATATCCATAGCAGATCCATTCAGCTGGATTGCAGCTGAGAAATGTGTAGAACATAAGGTGTCCTTGATAAAGATATGCAAGGCTTGATGCAAGTGTGATGCGGAGGTGGGTAAGGTAACACAACAGACATATAAACGGAATCAACCTTCTCCTTCCCTGCTGCCCCAGCCTCTTTCTTGCCTCTCTCTGTCAAGGTCATCTTCCTTACTACATTAAATACATCTGTTTAAGAACAATTTATTACCTATTTGTTCCAAACAGATCTTTCCTAAGTAAAGTAGTTGCCATGTGTGTCCAGCTCTCAGTAACTTCAAATCTGAAAGCTTAGTTTAATTTCAGTCATTTTTTTAAAAAAAAATACTTCCAGTTGCTTGAGTTTTTATTTGGAAGTTACTTTGGATGGTCAACTAAACAGCAGGTTGTACCTGTTTTGAACTGTAGCAACAGCAACAGTAAAGGTTAAAGAAAAAAAAAGTAAGCAGCTTTCTAATCTAACCTTCAGTCTTAGTGTCTGATGAACGTCAGCTGCAAGGTCTCCTTTCCACCACGGCTGTTCCATCCTTAAACTTCTCATCCAAGGAAAAGCGTCTAGTGAAACAGGCAGCCCCTGCAAGGTAGGCAGAAATCAAAGTAAATTAACAAATGAAATATGGACACATTTAAACTTCATCCACTGTTTTTCAACAATCCCATCTACTCCTTTGTAAAAAAAAAAGAGCCTAAAAACATATTGGGCTGTAAAATTAGGGATAGGTAGGTCCAACTTAACCAGATACAGTTGATGGCTGCAAATTTAGCTATAGAATTCCGCTCCCCCAGCATGAAAATAATTTAGCCCATTAAACGTTCTCTACACCTGGATGCCCCTTTCAGATTTGAATCTGTGCAAAAGAGTTCAACCCGTCTTGGCCAATATCAAGTCATCTTCTCAGCACGTTACCTGTCGCTCTGTTCTTGTTCAAAACAAGAGCAAAGAAGAGGTACTGATGGGAATACAAGTCATTATCGATCTCCGACTCACGCCCACTTTCCTTTCGGCCTGTGGTGGGGAGACGGCACCGACTTTCCGGCGGCCCGGCTTTTTTTTATTGCAACAAAATCCGAGATCCTCCGATACCTGACTACAAACGGCGAATTTCAGATCCAACTCGCTTCCCTCCACCCCATCTGATTTGAGATCGCCGAGAATCAAGACAGCATTTTCCCGGGCTCATTTCACTCTCCCTCCCTCCCTCTCTTTAACAAGTGCAAGTGGCACGAAACTTTTCAGAACTCCGCGGACTGAAACTTCTGACAAGCTGCCCGCAAACCCACCCCGCGTTAGCGTTACCTTTGCCGATGGCCCGCAAAGCGACGGCCTTTTGTCCTTTTCCTGAATCCGACGACTTCTTCTTGCAAGGAAAAAAAAATCCTGCAGCCCCGAGAAAGGGAAGGGAGAATCAAAACTGCACCCCTGTGCTCCCCCCTGTGCTAATCCCAGCAGGGAAGATCAGCAATTGGTTGCATGTCCCAGGGGTGCAAGGCGGAGGGAAAGAGGATGTCTCCCCGCCCCCAGACCACCTCGCCCCCCAAATCTCGGCTTCGATTTGAAGAAACGACCTAATTCACCGGAGAGGTTACATACACACCGGCTTTCTATATTACGCACGCGCACACCTACCGCTCACTGGGCCTCTGGACGTTGTAGTCCTTCCCCGCTTCCTTTGCCTACGCTCCCCCCCCCCCCCCCCCCTTTTATTGCTGGGCTTCGGGCGAGCGCTGGATTGGCTCGCTGTCTGCGCGCCCGAGGGGCTCATTTGCTCGCGGCTGCCTGTTTCATATGTGCCCTGAAGCCGCCTGGGCGGTTCTGTCGCTCTACCTCAGCCCATTGTTGGCGCCATTCTCCATTTCTAAGGGATTTAGATAGAGCGTTATCAAAACATTTGAGTCCTGCCCGCTTGAGCTTGAATAAGAATAATGGCTCCTCCTGCCCCTCTCAGCTGCTATTCATTGAGTAGTGGGAGGATAATGGAATTATCGCTCCTTTTAAACTACAGGGGATGCTTGCTGAGTTTCGCTATCCCCACTCTGAGTTTTGCCTTTGCTTTGATCAGCTCTGCTTTGGCATTTCATTGCATAACATTGCTTTTGACGCCCCTTTATCTTAACAGGTGTGACAGCACTCGGGGATATTAAATTAATAAGGATTTACAATATGCACGTTTGCTGAAACAAGCTGCATATGATAAAGGATTTTTATGGGAATCGATCTAGCCAATTAACATGAGTTATTGTGTAAACAACTGGAGCGAAGTGCTTTTAAAAATTCCAGAATATGGACACTTGTAGAAACTTCATACAATTTAGCCTGAAAAAAAATTAGCAGTTGTTCCCGAAGTGCTTTATTGTTGCTTTCCTCACATTAATTGTGAGCAGCAAAACAGTACTATTTTTCTTTAGAGAGTATTTGGAAACCACCTGAGAGATGCAGTGCTGTATTGTTGGTTTGATGCTGCATTGTTACAGCATTTTGTTTTTAAGGACAGAAATCTGAGAGGCAACTGAATTATTAGGCAAGTGTGCTCAGCACAAAGATAAATATATTTATATAAACTCAGTCTATTAAATTCTTGCTAATTGCCGAAGCTGGTGGCATCCAGTGCTTGAGAATAAAGGCAACCTATAGTATCTCTCATTGTTAAATTTGTTTGGTTCCAGACAGTGGCCTCAGCAGGTGACTCTTGGAAATTCCTAGGTTGTAGGGTAGACTAAACAATAGGAAAAAAAATCTGTCAAAATACTTTCATACTTTCTCAGGAGAATTCTGTGAACAAGTCAAACTCAACTCAAGGGAATAGTCACTTTTTAAACAAATCTGAAATCTGACTTCACACAGTGTATCTTAGGACTTATAGTTTAATGAGCAATCAATCAGAATAGAGCTGGAAGGGACATTGGAGGTCTTCTAGTCCAACTCCCTCACCCCCTCAAGCAGGAGATTCAGATTGCTAATTTGCTAACAGAGATCTTTGAGACACACTCCCCCAGAGAAAGAGTGCCAGATTATAGGAGGTTACCTGATATTGGGTTCTTGGAGAAACTGCTTGACATCCATTTAAAAAACATTATTTTAGTGTAGGACAATTAGAAAACTCAAACTAGTTCTGCCTTAACTGTCTTGAGTTGAGGAGGAGGGTAGAGAAAAGACAGGCTTTCAACATTCTGTTACTATAGCTAATATCAATAAAATAGAGTTGCAATCATTCTTGTGGAGTCTGTTTTCTGACTTGGCTTCTCTTCAAGGGCTGCAAAAACATGCTTAACATCCGGGCATTTTGCAATATTGAGGGCTCAGATGTACAGCGATACTCAATATGGCCATTTGGAAAGAGGTGCCTTCAAGCAGAGGTGGTCGTCACATACTGTAACAACCAGTTTGCCCAGAACGGAAAATGTGAGCGTGTGTGTGAAAAAATGACAATTATATAGGACGGGATAGCGCCAGGGCAGGTGGGTGGGCTCAGCTGCTGGTCGGAACTACCGGTTCGCCCGAACCAGTCCAAACTGGCAGCAGCCCACTCTGCCTTCAGGTCAATTTTGACTCCTGGTGACTGCGGTTTTCTTGGCAAGGATTTTTGGGAATGCTCTGGCTTGGTGCCTAAGGTGGGATTTGAACTTCTCTTTGTTTCTGTAGCCTACTGTCTTAACCCTTAAAAATTACATCAAACTAGCTTTCAATATGACCAACAACAAATTCTTAGATATTGAGTTTTTAAGGATTTATCTCTGTCTAATCTAATGACAATGCAGTAAATTAGTTCAGACTTAAGGTTGGAATCTTATTGCAGATAGCCAACTTGGAATGGGCAAGTTAGGGGCAGTACTTACTGATGTTGATGTCTATAAATTTGACTGAGAAGAGTCCTTATAGTTAATACTCCTAGAGGCTTTTTCTCATTGTTGAGTGCTATTTCTACCATCCTTGAATCTGCAGCAAACTATACTGACATGAACCTGGCTATTGTTTAAAAATTGGTTTTAAAATGAGAGTTTTAAATTCAGCCTATGATTTAATTATTTTAATCTGCTTTTAAATTCTATTTTTGTACATTATTTTTATTATGGCTGTTCACCGCCCTGAGTCCTTCAGGAGAAGGGCGGTATATAAATAAAATAAAATAAAAAATAAAATAATAAATAAAAATATTGATGATTTCTAACCTACCTATTGCTTCTCTTCTCAGTCAATGTCCAGTCACTTGACTTCCCTACAGGATGAGTGCAAAAGCCTAATAATTTTATACACCCTGAAACCGCTCCTGGATGATATTGAAATAAATGAGATATAATGCTACTTTGAAGGATCTAGGAGGAGATATAATGCTACTTTCAAGTTGCCCCTCTTATAGTCTAGGGAGAGGAATGGAAAAATAGATAGTTATAGATAGCCAGGGCATGTTTATACTATGAATGGGTGCAAGCAGGGAAAGACTTTAGATTTGGGTAGCTGTTGTCCTTTATTTGGCAGTCTAGTTCGTTTGCCAATCATTGGACAGACAAAAGGATAGAATGGATAGGTTATTGCTGAGAAATACAGGCAGTCCTCAACTTTACAACCATTCATTTTGTTTCCATTCAAAGTTACAACAGTAGTGCAAGAAGTGACTTATGACTGGTCCTCACACTTATGTCTATTATGGCATCCCCATTGTTACAATCAAAATTTGAGTGCATGGCATGTATTTTACAATAGTTGCAGTGTTCTGGGGTCAAGTGATTGCCATTTGCAACCTTCCCAAAAGGTTTCCAAAAGCAAAGTCAATGGGGGAAGCTGGATTCATTTAACGACTGCAATGATTCACTTAACTATGGCAAAAATGTCATAAAATCAGGCATGACTTACTTAACAACTGCTTTGCTTAGCAATGGAAATTCTGGTCCCAATTGTTGTTATAAGTCAAGGACTACCTATAGAAGGTCAATGAGAAAGATTTAGGAAGACTCACCCAAATGGAAAATATTCTTTTTAGTGAGGAATACTGACTTATTCATAGAAAGTAACTTTGTTACTGGGATTATATGTATGAGTTGATAAACTATTTCATGATTTATGTTTTGGATCAGACGTTCTAATTTACCTCCACAACTACCAGTTTCATACATTCTAAGGCAGGATAGAGGGATAAAACAGAGCAAGTTTGAATTATAACACCAATGAACTGATTCTTTCCTACTTTTTCTCATCAGTGGTTTTTTTAATCACACTTGAAAACATATATAAAATTAGGTAAAGAAAATAATGTCAACAATGAATGAAATGACAGCATATGTACATTTACTTCTGAGCTATTCATGAGATATTCCCAAATAACATTTTCAATTTTTCCAAGAAAATCAAATATTTTCACACTAAATCAATGTATTCTCATTTTTTGCATAAAAATGGACAGCTAATATATGACTTTTTTCTTTCCACAATCATAGTACTTCTATATACAGATGAAAATGAGATATATTGTGAAAGCCTTGAATATATCTTTGAATAGTTTGAATAAGAATCAAGACCTGAAAGTGAGTTAACAGAGGAAGAACCAATATTCTTTTTATATATTCCTAAACTCTCAGAAATAATGAGGTATAGAACAGTCTTTCTCAACATGTGCCAGTCAGATGTGTTGGACTACATCTCTCATTGTCTGCAGCCAATCTGGCACATTGACTGAGGAAAATCAGAGTGTAGTCCTGGAGGATATTAGATGAGAGAAAGTTATACTTCAGGTTTTTTTTTGTCCAATAGCACTGGCTGAGAAAAATCAAAGTACAGGTATGTGTATTTTACAGCAAAATGTGTAGATAACAAAACATGCAGGAATAAAAATACCTATAAGGCAGTTTATTCATGCTTAAACATAGAGTATATCCACATCTATTAGTTTCTTCACATCTAAATATAGAGTTCAAGCACAATATCATGAAGGTATCAGAAAAAAATGAGTAACATCCTACTCTTTTTTCATTTTGGCCTTATTGCACAGCAATCCGCCCTGAAAGTATATAAATGAAGAAAATTTATAGATCCCAAATACTGCTAGATTTTCATCTATCATAACATGAGAGGCAGAATATTCTAATTAGTAGTTGCAAGAAGCCAAAACTCTTAGCTGTAATCTTATCACCAATCTAAACTCTCTAAACAATATCACCGATATTATACATAGACTTGGATCTCTTGAAAAGTCTTCATTGCGTGGAAAGATGGATGGGAAATAAGAGATGACCAACAACAAGGTAGATGGTCTCAATTACTGAAGGATGAACCATTAACAAAACTGAAGGGTCAACCTGGAGACAGATTATCTGAAGACCTGTATAGTTGCTGAGGGTACAAATCACTTTATGACATGGAGATTGATAGGATCTACCTTTCTCAAGATCTTCATCAGAATACAGCTTTTAAAATTATTTTTCTACAAAGACTATGCAGTTAAAAGCTCCAGGATTGACAAACCTGGTGTTGGATACATTATACTTTACCTTCTAGAGCCATGATGGCGAACCTATGGCACACAGAGCCATCTCTCTGGGCATGCCAGCCATTGCCCGTTGCTCTTCTGGGTTCCAGCGCACACATGCATGCCGGCCAGCTGATCTTCATGTGTGCATGCACATCAGAAGCTGGAAGACCAGGTGACCAGCACGCATGCGCACGCTGGAAACCGGAAGGCCAGCTTCCTGGGAACTGCTCTTCCGGTTTCCAGTGCTCCTGCGCATGTGCACGCGCTTGGTGCCAAAAAGGTTCACCAACACTGTTCTAGAGTTTCACTATAGTGCTGACTTGCACACAGCTTCTCTTGTAGATTTGTAAGGTTGATTCATAACAATGTAGAGAAGAGATTATAGCTAGACTTAGTAACTCACCAAACGTAAACAGTAGTACTTAATATTAATATATACATACCGGTACTACTAAGGAACATAAAAGCATCATTGCCTATGACTTTTAAAAGAATAGTGAGCGTGTGTATGTGTGAGAGAGAAAATAACTGAAATAGTTACCAAACATGAGATCAGTAAAAAAGGCAAACTCCTTCTAAGTTGATCTCTTGAGAACATCTCACAACTGCCCAACTGTCAAAACAACAGAATCTTGGAATACCCAGGAGAAGCCTTCTAGGTTGCTTAAAGGTAAGTCACCTTGCATGCCAATAGCAGAGATATCTAGCCAAAACATGCTTGTCTTTGTTCATATGCTTACAAGTAATAGTGAAATCTTTTCAATGTGCTTGTAGATTGTAGGAAGAGAGTAGAGCTCACATCAAAGAAGAAAATATGAAACATCTCTTTTCCTGCGGTCAGAGCACTTCATATAAAGAATATGAATACTACGGGTAACAGATACAGAGTTCCTTACTTTGAATTTAAATGCTTCTTGTAGAAGTCCGCAGTCTCCAAAAGGACGTACTGATGTAGCTAAAAAATTGAAAAACATCAGACCATTTTTAAGAGCTTTGTCACCCACATATCATGTGTATGTATGGGAATCTTTCCACTGTAAAAGTTAATATGCCACCTCTAGTGTGTGGGGGACAACATTCCCCTGCCTCAATCTTGATTCATCTGGAATGTATCATTAGTGGCACACTTCAAAGAGCCCCAGGAAATATGAGAGAGGCAACAGGCTTTTTATGTTTACAGAAGATACAAATTTCCAGAACATAGACGTGCAAATGGAAAACCATCTGATGTTTCAGTTATTTGCAAGCGTGCATTAAGAACATGGGCTAAAACACTCCTCTAGTTCTGTTTTGAAAACAGCTTTAATTACTAATTCAAAATCATATTTCTGGGTCAGCATTTTGCACAAAGGAAAGTAAAGAGGCCACTACTTGTTTAGTTTCTGAATTGCCTTGTGCAATGAGCACTGTTGTGAAGCTTCAGAACGGTGGTAGGTTATTTGGCCAATACTTTGCTGAGTTTCTGCTTTTCTTTTCCTCCCTTACCAAGTAAATTCAATTTAGATTTGCAAGAACTATCAGGATAAAACATCAGTAGTACATATAAAAAGCTAGCAAAATATATATTTATTTTGTGTCTGAATGAAATGGTTCATCTTTTAAAGAAGACACAGTTTTGAGCTGAAATCATAAAACATTTGTACCTTTTTACACTGTCATCCTCCTCCAACTGTATAATTACTTTGGGTGGACATATGCATTATTTACTTGGGAGGATTTCTTATTTTTCTGCTTCTGGTGTATAGAGATACATAAACATCTTCTGCCTGACAAACGGCTTTTGGGTCAGCTGAAGCAAGGAAGCAAGAACATGCCAATGTATTTCTTCAGTAAGAAAGTCATATCTACCTTATTTGCCCCAAAATAAGACATCCCCTGATAATAAGCCCAATCAGGCTTTTGACCGCATGGCAATAAGGCCAAGCGCTTATTTCAGGGTTCAAAAAAATATAAGACAGGGTCTTATTTTCGGGGAAACACGGTAGCAATATTTTATTATAAAATTTTGCAAAGCCATAGGCAAATTTCATTTGTGTTATCTGCTGGATGAGAAATGGAGAAACATGTTTTTAGGCAGGAAACAGACTCACATTTAATAGCACCCACCATCCTCAATAGCCCACAGCAGATATCCACACTTAAGAGATAAAGAGATAGCTAGGTCTATTCATAGGCAAATGCCCTAACCCAAGATTCAACAAAGGTAGGATTAGCCTCTGCCCATCTCACATGGGACCTGGAAAGATTACATCACTCAGCAAGGCTCAACCAAACTTGGACTCAAAACACAGCCTACAGAGTTGCCCCTGCATGGCCCCATGGGAGTCTGACCACCAATCAGAATACAACCTCAAATTCAAAGCCCAACAGAGGGCATAAAACCAAGGCACTCTCAACATCTCTGCCCTTTTCCGTTCAGGAACTCAAGCCATGTGATCCTGTTCATCAATACACCTTCTTTCCAAGAAACTTCCATTGAATCCAGTGTCTTTTTCCCCACTTGGAACTGAACCCAGATGGACATTTCTTCCAAAAATAGAAAATTATTTTCCTCTACTTTATAATTTTTCTGTTAGTTTTCTCCTGCTTCCTTGGTTTTGATCAATAATTCAGCCTGGTGAAAACCCTGTGGAATTTGGAATATTGTCCTTAGCTATGTGACATTTTAATTGTTTTGGCAAAGGCTCAAAGTTACCAACTATCGTTTATTGTTTTTTCCCTTCTGATTAACTTCATCTGGGCACTTCCACAGCACTTTATCCCAACCCAGAAGTTACTGCCAGATATAGAAACAATATCCAACCCCACAGAAAAAGGAAATAAGATAAATTCCTACAGCCTGCACCAGTTGTGGGTTTAAATTTTGTTCACTACCGGTTTGTTCATGGGTGCGTGTGATGCTTCTGCGCATGCGCAGAGATGTCCAGGCGGGTGGGCAGAGCCTCCCGCCACTGCTACCCATTCGCCTGATCCAGGACGAACCGGTAGCAACCCACCACTGGCCTGGACCCATCAATGTCTTTTGGTATAAGTACAGCATTGGTGTGTATGTTTCTGGTTGTATGCAAACACAGGAGAAGCTTGAAGAGGAAAGAAACCTTGTAAAGGTTTCCTAGCCACATAACACTATTCCTCTATTCATTTGAGTGGGAAGGTAAAATGCTAGCATTCTGATAATTTTTCAATTAAGTGCTTTTACTTATAATTGTATCCATGGGATGGGGAAAGGCAGATATGTTTAAACAATGCATACAGGAAGAGACATGACTCAGGAACAGGATCCTGAAGGGAGGGGAAGGGGAGAGGGAAGGGGAGGGGAAGAGAATAATGGCTAGCTGGATCCAGGAGAAAGGGTGAGGCAAGCATTGCCATCAATGGAAAAATAGACTAGTAAATAGGTCTGCAGAACTGTAGACTGTTTATGGTTTCCATTAGATCAGAACACAGAGCTCCCAATAGCTTGTCAAAAATAAAGCCCAAGATTTAGAATCCACTTAAATTCCCCCACTACCTGCACTCAATATAGGGTTTAAGACCTCTTTGCACAAACTGAATTCATTATGTTGGACTAGGTAGTCTGAAATTGGTTCTTGCTTGTAATTATTGATTACTTAACATTGTTAAATCAAAGCAAAATTTAGGTAGCATATCCCATACGTTGGAGATATTCACTCGACAAACCATATAATATCACATTTTGTAATGGGAAAAATATTAGATGTCTGGAAGGTCCCTAAATGACTATATGGTGATCTAATAGGAAGTTACAGTATGGCAATTTTGAAACACGATTTCAAAGCATATTATGGTAGCTGAATGCCTTGTTCAGTCCTAGGCTTCTTAAATGTTGCTTCATCTATAAAAATGCAGGTTGTGCTGATAGGGTTATTTTGTGGTGATACAGGTGATTTTTATTCAAATATCTGAAATTTGAATGTCCCATTTGTTAGGTGTTCTGTTCCCATGATCTTGAATTCAATTCTTACATTGGTGTTAAATGCTAGCTGAAAAGCTACTATTGGCTTCCTTAGCATGGGAAATGCGTAAAATCAATCGTGCTATTAACAGGAAAATAAATTATTGTGGTCTGTACTCCCTGTTAGTATACTTTATAAATGGCTTTTCAATAGCTTTTAATTAAATTCTTTTAATTTTTATCATAACATATAGTATTCCTTGTTATAACAGCAGTTTTTATCCTGTAGTCCACAGCACGATATTAACAGAGCCTGATTTAAATTGGCCTACTGGTTTATTTAAAGATTTGTGGTCAGAGAGATCTCTGAAAAAAATGAAATGCTTGTAGTTTGATTCTAGTTTGCTTTGATTCATTAAATGTTCTTAAACATTTATGAAGGGCTTCACAACATGACTATAACTTCCTGAATAATTTTAGTTTATTGAAAATCCTGGTGAAGCCTCTGTCAAGTCAAGAGCAATTGCAATTATTTGGCTATCCCTTAGGTTTTGGGAAATCAGGAACCCTGACTTAGAAAATCTGGCCACATATATCATTATCTAATGTCTGAAGCATAACTTAAGGCATGAATGAAAAACCTGCAGCTGAGAAACCATAGAAAACATTATGAATTAACCAAGTTAAGCTCTCAGCTCTTGGATGAGATTTTCTGCTGTTTCAGGAGCATGTTAAATAGTCACACTCTGGTCTTAAGACTAGCAGAAGGTTCTCCTTTCTTCCTTGTGAATGAGAGATGGGCAGGAGGAGATGGCTATGTCCTACGTACCCAGGCAGATCCTTTGGGTACCTGGCAGGATAGCAAAAGAGAGGAGAGGAAAGAGCAGAAAACTCCCAAAATGTATTGAAATCTTGAAATTAGTCTGGCTTGGGTCTGATCCCGAAGTGCTGTAAAATACTGACTTTTTGTGTACATTGCTTCCATAGAGCCATTCATGAGAATATCTACCAACCACAGAGACTTAAAGTAGAAAAATGAACAAATAAAAAATTGTGTGTTATAAGAAACCATCTGGGGATATGGTCTTCTAGAGCTTTCAAAACAATGCTTTGTTAATGAACTGTTAAGCAAACAAACCCTTTCTCCTGGTCAATCCAAGTCAAGAGCAATTGCAAGTATTTGGCTATCCCTTAGCTTTGGGTATTTCCAAATGAAATGGTTTAAGGCAAATTGAAAATAAATTCTCAATGCTTAGAAAGAATAGGGAGATTAAGAAATTAAATATTTAAAAAATCAGAAAAATTTAGATTCTAGATTAAGGTAGCCTTTCCCCGTTTTAACTTTCTTGCTATTGTACTATTGTAGTCTGCAGCACTAACATGCTATTGCAGTATAAAATTGTCCAATTAATTCTATTTTGCCCGTGAGTACTGGCATCATGAACAGGCAATAATGGAGTGTAAATCTAGTATCCCCTTCTCAGGAGAGCTTTAGATCAAGCCATTATTACAGGATTCCAATTATACCTCCCTCTAATGCTTTGTTAACCAACATATAATTAGTTCCTAATGAAACAGAATTATGTGTAGAATAATCAATGGCACATTTGATTCTTTAAACATTTTAAAGCTAATTCTCTACTGACTTATTTATTTGGTTTGACAACCAAATACCATTTGTATTTGCTCATAGAAGAAAGGAGATTTTTCAGGGAAAATGGAATATTTGTTAATATTTGTAACTTTTTAATAGTAGCACTATTTTTTTTAGCACATCAGATCCTTTTGGTGTTATTAAAAACATGTAGGGTGATAAAGAGAGGCTTGCTGTAGTGATGGCCAAATTTAGGGGAGTAGCCATAACTTCTAGCAATGGAACACATGCTTTACCAACAGAAGAACTCCAGATGCATCTATGGGTTCCCTGATTAAAGAAAGCATTGTTGAAAGGCACATTCCTGAAACGCTCAATGGCAATTATCCTTCTATGTAGGCAATCAGAAAATAGGCAGATAAATTCAGCTCTAGTTTCAGTAATGTCTGACCATCATTTACAGTACAGGATATGTACCGGTATCTCTTTCTACTTTAGAGAAGGAGCATCAGTATTGGTTGGTATAAGTTAAAATTTCTTTCTTTTGTGTTTTGCAGAAAAAGGGCATTGATAATAAGCATCTCGTATACTGAGGACCACAGGCGGCTTCCCAACCAGATCGTGGAGTCATATCCACCAATAAAAAGTTATCTCTTTTTCTCCCCTTCCTTCTCATTTGGAAATCATTTGTGAATGCATGTCTATGAAAAAGAATAAAGCGTCTGTACCATCTGAGACAAAGAAACCCCAAGGTTTAGATTAATTATATAAATATTGGAGGAGTTGTAGGCCATTGTCCTCTTAGGCCTGCTTTTGTGGCTGAAGGACTTTTTCAAAGATAAATGTACATAATTTCCCATGCTTCTTGTCTCCCATTAAGTTGATTGAGATTGGCAGCTCCCTTTATAGATCATTGAGATAATCCTGATCAGCGTATATCATAAAGCCAGTAAAAATGCTATCTGTCCAGTAGGGATCATAGAACAGCCCATTCTGTTCTGAGTAAAATATTTGCAGCCACACCTCATCCTTCTGCTTTAGGGAAAGGATTGTCGATCCAGAAGCAATGTCATGATTCCCGGTATTGGCATCAAATGTCTTTATCTTGTACTGACCATTATACACCAACCCAATAGCCAAGTGTTTATTGGCCAGTGTGATATCATAAGTGAAATAATAGACGCCGGGGATGTTGCATATAAATTTCCCACTGGAAGCGTTGTAATTTCCACCTTCATTCATGAGGATCCTATCAAATTTGATGGGCAGTCTCTCTTTTGGGTAACTTTTGGTCACAGCAACAGAGAAAGCTGATTTGGCTTTCTTGACATTGCATTTGCAGGGGCCAGACATCCCAAGGTCTCCTTGGCCTCCTCGGGGACCTTTCTTTCCAGGGCCCCCGCTTTTTCCAGTGGGGCCCTTGGGGCCTTTTAAACCACGGAGACCAGCTTTGCCAATGGCTCCTGGTTTCCCTTTTGATCCTGGCTGGCCTGGATTTCCCGTCCTGCCTTGGGTACCTACGAGAAAACACAACCTCAATGAGTAATCATACAAGGGACTCATGGATCTTTTGGAAGCAGCAACCAGAGGGCCAAAACTGGTTCTGCAACCCAGGAAGCATAAAAAAAGGGCTGTCCATTGGGAAGTTTTGAACTGCATTATTTTATGGGAACTGTATCCCCATCTCTTTCGTCCTGGTCATTCCATTAGAAAATGTGGAGAAAATATATTCTCTTCTAGATAGGTAGCTGACATAAAAAAAAGGGGGGTAGGGGAAGGATTCTCGCATCCTGCAAAGTTACAATAGAGTTTATTTTGTTTTGGGTTTGTCATGATATCTAAACTATTACTGAATGTATAAATGAAACCACTGCAGCTTGATGAACAAACCATGGTTTTAAAATTCTGGCTTATTGTTCTGTGGGATTGGAATCAATATCTCTAATACAAACTTTTTTTGGTAATCTACTGCATCAAACAAAGCCAGAAGTCATTACTTTTTTCTTCTCTCTTTGTACTTTTGTTTTTTCCTTTGATTTTATAATGAAAATTAATAAAAAAATATTAAAAGTAGAATCTTTCTAGCAGAAAGATACAACATAAGAAACAGTTAACAGTATGCTAAAACTCCCAGTTGAATTATTGTTCATATTTGCAGTTATTACTGTAATTGTATATTAATTAGAGTTTGGATTAGAGTTTTGGTGCAAATGGAAGGATCCCAAGTGAAATTGCATTCAACAATTTCCACTCTCTGAAAGTGGGTGGGCTGGGAAATTCTTCTTGCCAATTCTTTTGCTTTCCACACCCTTATTGTATTGAAAGCTCTGTCAACCTTCTGGAGAATATTTTTTAGGAGGAAGAATGTAATTGGTGAAAATCCTCTTTCTACTAACAGTACAAAACTCAATGGATTTCAAAGTCCCCTCTAAGTGAGGAGCTTGTAGAAGGAGCACCATGTTAATCTAAGAAAGCTGAAAATTGGGAGGAGTCTGATTTTTCCATGAAACAATTTTTTTTAATTAAAAAGTGTACACTTTTAATAAAGATTACATGTGGCCATTTTGGAAACAAACAAATTTTGCCAACACAATTGAGTGACAGATTGCTGAATTTTCATCAAAAGGTTTAAAGTTATCTCAGAAGGTCTCAACAAAAATATTTCTAACACATTACACATGTTCATTGGTAAATGAGCTGTAATTTGTCCTGCATGTAAGTTGTATTTCCATAAACATCCTGTTTTCCCCATCTCGTCCTTATTTAAATCCTATAATAAATCATTTGAGAGCCAGTTTAAGTGGTGGTTAAGGCACCTGGCTAGAAACTGACAGACTGTGAGTTCTAGTCTTGCCACAGGCATGAAAGCTGGCTGAATGACTTTGGACCAATCACTCTCTCTTAGCCCATGACGTCAGCTCTAGTGGTAAACCAGTAGGTTAATTTCTGTTGCAGTCAAAAGATTGAAGCTTGGTTGATTTGAAAAAAGTGGACCCTGCACTTACAGAAAAACACTAGGATGAAAAAAAAATCCAGTTTAAACCCTTCATCAGTCCAGCTGCTCTGTGTATCTGATAACTACAGCTCACAAAAACATAGGCATTAGAACATTTGATAGTCCGAAAAGCTGCAAAAAGGCTGCTCCTTTTGTTAATGGTTAGGAGTTCTGTTGGCAGGAAGTTTATGCTTCATCTAACTAAGAGTTAGATAATTTCTATTTATAAACAAAGTCAGCCAGACAATACAATTACAGCCCAATTTGGCCTCATCATTCCAGACACAAGCCTTCTCCTCTATATCATCCCTGAGCAGGCCTAGGAGCCAGACAGAATATTAATATGTGTCCTTTCAGTTTCATTTAATATATACTGTATTTTTTTATTTATTTAACAAAACGTGAACTGAACCATCTAAAGCCTGCCCAAACATGTCCAGCTGATAAAAAGCTCAGTTAAAATTAAAAATACAGAGCACCCCAAAGTCCTTCTTTGGTCATTTTGTCTCCCTCCTTCAAACATATACCTGGGTAGACTGTTTTTACTTGCTATTTAAAGGTAAGGAATCACCTCCTACCACTCATCTCATTTCTGATGGAGATATAGAATAGACTATTTGACAATGATATCTATGTTTTATTGTCTGGGGTTCCACAATGTGCTGAATATGAAGTGCAAACTCATGTAAACAAGCCATTATGGTTTGTAAACAGGGTTAACCCCTGCTTGAATTAGCATGGTAATGCTAATTAACATGCCAATTCAAGCCAATAGTTAATTGTGCAACCTATAATTGATTTTATTTTCCTGGGCTCCAAGATCACCGCAAATGGGGACCACAGCCAAGAAATTAAAAGACGCTTGCTCCTGGGGAGGAAAGCTATGGTAAATCTAGACAGCATACTAAAAAGCAGAGACATTACCCTGCCAACAAAAGTGCATATATAGTCAAGGCTATGAATTTCCCAGTTACAATGTATGGCTGTGAAAGTTGGACCATAAGAAAGGCTGAGTGTCAAAGAATTGAGTCCTTTGAACTATGGTGCTGGAGAAGACTCCTGCGAGTCCCTTGGACTGCAAGGTGATCAAACCGGTCAGTCCTACAGGAGATCAACCCTGACTGCTCTTTAGAAGGCCACATCCTGAAGATGAAACTCAAATATTTGGCCACCTAATGAGAAGGAAGGACTCACTGGCGAAGAGCCTAATGGTGGGAAAGATTGAGGGCAAAAGAAGAACAGGATGGCAGAGAATGAGGTGGCTGGATGGAGTCACTGAAGCAGTAGGTGTGACCTTAAATGGACTCCAGAGGATGGTAGAGGACAGAAAGGCCTGGAGGAATGTTGTCCATGGGATCGCGATGGGTCGGACACGACTTCGCAACTAACAACAACAATAATTGGTGAATGTAACATCTGTCATGTGGCAGACCATATCACACTTTTCATAATATGACACATTGTTCCCAAAATGAACAGGTTCAAAACCTGCTTTGGGAAAGAGTTTTGGGTTGTTGTTTTTTTTTTTTTTAAAAAGACATGATATACGCCTTAAACCAGCGGTTCCCAAACTTTCTGGCTTTGTGGACTGGTGGCAGTCCACTTCATTTGTGCAAATGGAGCTTCACGTGTGCACGTGCTTGCCTGCCGCGTGTGCAAGTGGAGCTTTGTTCACATGGCCTGATTCCGGGCCATGGCCTGGCGGGTTGGGGACCCTTGCTTTAAACAGCTATAAATCTGGGGGGAAAAACATTTTGCTATTTAAACTCCACTCCCCAAAGGTCTAAAGTTTCAGCCCCAGCTGCTCTGGGAAGTTTTGTGATTCCATAAAAGAGTAAAGCTGGTGGGCTGCCTGAAGCCTCTAAATGACATTTGTTGCACCTCTATCATAAGTTATGATTATGGACTTCTGAAATAATAAACTGCACTAAGATGCCACAACTAACACTTTGGTTGTTCAAATATATTAAAAAATTGCATTCTTCCTTAATTTGATTTTGGAGAGAGCTGCTATGTAGGAAGGTCTTATGCAGTGGTGGGATTCAAGTAATTTAACAACCGGTTCTCTGCCCTAATGATTTCTTCCAACAACCAGTTTGCCAAACTGCTCAGAAAGTTAAGTACCGGTTCTCCCGAAGTGGTGCAAATTGGCTGAATCCCACCACTGGTCTTATGAAAGAAAATGGATTTAGTACTGTAATGGCCGATTTAGATTTCCCCATTCTTTTTGGGATTCCTTCTGAGGTAGAAAAGTATCTTGAAAAAGAATCTCTTACCTTCATCCCCTGGCTCTCCTTTCTGTCCGTCTTCTCCATCTCGTCCATCTTTTCCTGGAAAACCCATCCTCCCTATATTCCCAGGAGCACCCGGAGCTCCGGGAGCACCCGGAGGGCCTTGTGGTCCTAGCACACTGCAAATTATTTCCTTGGAATTTTTCTGAACGTCTGCTTTGGCAAAGCTACTGAGAAATTGATTAACTATACAGGGAGCAATCCAGGCAACCAGAAAAAGGAAGATCATGGTGATACCTGCAGGAAATGAATCAGAAGCAATTATGGGTGCGTGTTGCAAGAAGCAGCTAGGGCTGGCAGGAGCATTACAGGAGTGGAACATGTTACGTAATAAGGTTGGGGCTCAGAGGAATTAGGAATGCATCCTAAAATCTTTTCAGAAGTGTGGTTTTGATAAACTGCTGCAGAAAGCACCCCTCCCCCCAAGAAGGACACTTTTGGCATTTCAGGACTATCTATTCTGGCAGCAGCTTTTAAATACAGCACTAGAGCCCATGTAATCCAACACATGCAATGTTACCTGCGTTAGAAGCACAGATCTAATAGATAGCTGATGGAATTATAAGCATTAATATGAAATGAAGAAATTAAAGGAAGTGGATTATGTTATTAATAATGGTCATTTCCCAAGCAATTGTTAAGTAGTAACATACAAATTCACTCTCTCTATTGGATAGCTGATTTATGCAAATAGTGGGATTTTTCTTTAGTAAGTCTGTTTTTGCAAGCCACAAGATATAAAATGGAAAGTTTTGAAGAGCTCTTATTGAAATTTGTTTTTATAGTTGCCTTCTTTAAATGGGTAATAACAATGTCTGCTTCTCTGAAAAGCTGAAATGCTTCCTCACTTATTTCAGATTTGCACCAATATCTTTCTTTTTTTCTTTCCTTTGTAGAATTTGTAGACTAACCTACCTGACTGGTATATTGAGACTACCCCAGCATAATGCAGTGGCCAAAGTTATGGGAAAATCTAAGTTCAAGTCCCTTCTCAACCACAGAGTTCATGAATGATTTGGGGCCCTTCACTCTTTCTCAGTGTCCAACCTCATTGTGGAATTTCTGGAAATTTTTGAGGTTTAAAACGCTTACTTAAACCTATATAAAAGAAATGATTTTGAAAGATTTTTTTAATCTGACTTGCATTTTACTAAAGCCAGAGAATTGAGGCTAAAGTTTGATCCAAATATATTTCAGAGCATTGATCTAAAGTACCTCATTTAGATTGTTTTATTTTAATGTCCTTATGTCTGTGCATTTTGAATGCTTAGGTGCTCCATCATATAGCATTGTTGTTTGTTTGTTTGCTTGCTAGTAGCACAAGTTACTGCCCTTTTGGGAATTGTTACTGTGATGAGTTAGAAATTACAATATGTAGTAAGAGAGATTCAGTGACATTTTTGTCTAAAATGTTAGATTCTGCCTCGAGAGTATGCTTGTTTTTGTTCACTTCAGTTTACAAGGATATCAGATATTGGTGCTGAGAAGCTAATTTGTTTATAGAGGGATATACGGTAGTTGAAGGAAGAGAGGAAGTTTAGTAGGAGCCAGAAGTTTGTCTACACAGACTTATGCTGGCTTGGAAATCAGGATGGCAGTGGTAGGAGGAATTGAATGTTATAATAAGAAGGAGTTAGAGAAAGTAGAATTGATGGAAAGGAGAAGGTATGTGATTTGTTTTTGGAAACTTATGGAAATTGGCAGATTGAAATGTGGAAGTGCTAAGAAGTAGAAGAGAAGTGGTGATATGGGCAGGGGAGACAGCGTTAAAGACTGCCGGATCCAAAGAAGAGGAAGTGGTGTTTTTCGTTGACAGAGATCAGATTAAGTGGACAAAGCATTTGAATACACTTAATCAGTGAAGGGAGTGTTGGAAGATTTGAGAAGCTCAATATTAAAAGCACAAGAAAATTCCCCTAAAGAAAATAAGCAGAAACTCGGGCAGAGTTCAGCCCCCACCTTTACCAATGGGCCATTAAGAAACTGAGACGCCCCCTTAACAATAAACTGATTCCAGGAGTTTTGAATTCAGGAAGGGAAAGCTCTGCCTTTCAGCAATCTTTAAAGGGAAAGACTCCCTCCCCACACAGTAGTAAAAAAAAAAAATCACTCCTGATAGAAAGGAGGGGTAGCATCTCCGCCTCCATCTGTAAACAAGCAAGAATTAAGATAATTCTATGCAAAATTAATTGAATCTGGACCTTGGAGTTTGAAATGGGAGGGACATGAAAGAGGAAGCCTTGAAAATTTGAAACAGGCTTTAACCAGGGCTCCTGTATTGGGTTTGCCAAATTTGGAAAAGCCATTCGGTCTCTTTGTAGGCGCGCACACACACACACACACACACACACACACACACACACACACACACAAACTGAATTGCACGAGGGGTGTTGGCTCAGAAAGTGGGAAATTGACCTTTGGAGGGAGCCCTCATTGTAAGCACCCCACATCAAGTCAGAACTATCCTTCAGTGGTGGTTATCTGATTCAAGATTCTAAACAAAAATGAAACAATTTTAATGCAGCAGACAGATTTGTTTTTACCTACAGATCACAATTTGAATCAAGCACAGTTCTTAACCAACACCAGATCAATGGATCACCTTGGATGAGAACATTATGGTGTTGAAATAATTGGTTTACATACAAAAACAAGACCTGATTTGGAGGGACACCCCCTGGAGACAAATTGCCTCGAAATTGGTCTGCTCAAACCTTTGAATTGTATTCATTAAATTAAGCTCTATGGACAGGGAGCCTGGATAGCTCAGTGGATAAATGCATTGTAATTTAACACCAGCTGTCTGCAATTACTGTAAATTCGAATCTCACCAGGCTCAAGGTTGACTCAGCCTTCCATCCTTTCTAAGGTAGGTGAATTGAGGACCCAGTTTGTGGGGGGCAATAAGCTGACTTTATGATGGCTATTGCTTAATGCATTGTAACCCTTAGTCTCTGGACATCATTTGGCAAAATAAGGGTGGAGTCATTGGGGACTTCAAGCTATTGTAGATGAACTTTTAAACTAAGCTTTGGTTGTATTGGGATATATCCTTTAGTAACATCAATTATAAACAAATGTTTGGTTTGTAAAAAGGTGAATGAACATGCTGTCAGAAAACAACAGATGGGTAAGAGGTACCACCAGCTTTAAGACCATTTCAATGTATTCATGTGGATTTTACAGAATTACCAAAAGTGGGGAGTGTAAAATATTTATTAGTCATAGTGAACCACCTCATAGGGTGGGTTGCAGCTTTTATCTGCAGTAATGCTACAGCAACAGTGGTGTCAAGAGTTTTACCCAATCTAGACAGAGTATCATCATATGAACTGTTGTTTGGAGTAGTTTTCACTACAGGAAGCATATGCATTACTTCCTTGGAAACCAGAGACAAAGTATTGAAACAATATGTGTATAACCTGTCCAGATATTTTGAAGTTTTTAGGAAACAAGGACTATTAGCCCAAACACCACCTTTGAAGTTTCCAGTCCACAAATTCCACCACGATGATTGGATGTTAATCCAAACTGGATGGAAGTTAGACCCCAAGTGAACGGGCCCAATCTCATCAAGGAAATCCATTGAAGTTGATGATCCAAAAGACCCAAGGGACTGGTAGGCAGCCACCAGTGGGAATAGTATTCTTCATCATCTGGACTATTTTTGTATTTTTTCTTTCTTAGGATTCAGTGGTTGCCTATGCTGTTTCCCAACTGAAAAGGACTACAACTGCTCAGATTCCTTTGCGCACTCGCCCAGATGTATTGGTTTTGTAATTGTGTTTTTAAGATCTTAGGAGGATGATCCTGGATCCACTGGATGAGACTGATACCAGGTAACAAAAAACTGACAGGCCATTGGCGCAGAAGTTTAAGAAGAATACACCCTGCTGAGTCCTACCGGCAACGGGCTCTCTACGCACGGTGGTGATCATCAGCCTTGCTGAATCACTCCGGAAGCTGATTCTCAACGCACGGCGGAAGATTCATCAGGAGGAAACTACCTTCACATTGCACATATATATTTTATTAGCTTTAATATAATACTTTCTTATTGTTTTTCTAATTTTGCTAGTAATTTTGTTTCACACGTATAAGTGACTATGATTTGTTTATGGCTTTGGACATTATTCGCACTAGGACTCTCAAGTGAACATAAGATGAACATTGATTCCCCAAGTAGAGACACTTTAGGTCAAGTTCGCTCCCGCCAAAAACGCATTGTCTATGCACAAGGTCCTTACTTTCTACCTAAGTCTACTCCATCACCTAAGGTTCCCATATTGACATTCCCAGCTGAGGGGGGAATAGATAAGGAAAATGGGCCTCTACAACAATTGCATAGAGGAGACTATATATTACGGATTTGGGAATAAAGTCAAGATCTTGTTAAACAGTATGACCCTACCCTAGGTCAGAAATGCTGCTTATGTTTATCTGCTAGCCCTGCATCTTATCATGCTGTTCCTGTCAAACCACAACTCTGGGTTAGAACAAAGGCTACCAGAAATAAACTTTAAGAAGGGAAAGTGGGGTGGATGGAATCTGTCCAAGACCATTTCAACCTTCAGAATTTCTGCTCTGGTTCAACTTAAAGTCCAAATCAGATTTATGTATCCTTTTTCCACCTGGAAATACTACCTCTCGATATGTTTTTGAAGGACCAATTCTCAGAGATAAACAGAAGGACCCCTCACTGGAAGTCCCATTGCAACCACTGGCAGGAATGTTTGTGGCAGGGACTTAGGGGTCTGGACTAATGCAAGAAACTACTGAGTGCATGCCTTTTCCATAAATCTTCTTATGTGGAAAGGATGCATATTTGTGTTTACCAACAAACTGGACAGGAACATGTAACAAATCAGGTGTGGTCAGAGAAATTGCCAAGGAATTGCAGGATAGGGCTTCCAAGATAGGTCAGAGGTTATAAACAACTGACATGTGGTTTTCTTGGTTGCCTGGATCTGGGTGGATTAATATGGCTGTGGCAGGCCTAGCTTTTATTCCTTGTGCAATCCCTATGCTGAAACATTTATCAATAAGAGCAGTAAAGGAGATTCCAGTTGAAAAGGAACTAGCTTTGACAGAACATTTTCTTAATCAACTTGGTCCCTATCCTGTGGAAGAACATAAAGATTCTGAGGCAGACCCATATGAGGAAATGGAACCTGTAGAAAGAGGTAGAGAATCTCCCCAAGAATCAAGAGAGTAAAAAAACAATCAAGAACTAC